CTCAGCATGCGGCAAGAAGGACACCAGACAGCTAAGTAGCTCTCGCTAGCTCCCTGGAGAATCTGGTACAGCAAAAGCCAGGCCACCAGCGAGGCCAAGGCTGCACTCTGGAAAATGCGGGCGCCCGACCCCCTTCAGGAACCAAAAAATAGTGAAGGCTGCCATTGCTTGCAGGTTGGCAACAGGAGGTCAGCCAGCATGCGGCCAAGAATGTGAAAGAAGATGCTTGGCAAAGATGACAGACAGGCTAAGTAGCTCTCGCTAGCTCCCTGGAGCATCTTGGGGCACAGCAAAGCACAGCCACCAAGGAGCCAAGGCTGCACCTCTGGAAAATGGGGCTCCCTGACCCCCTTCAGGAACCAAAAAATAGCTGAAGGCTGCCTTGCTTGGCAGGTTGGCACAGGAGGTCAGCTCAGCATGCGGCAAGAATGTGGAAGAAGATGGCTTGGCAAAGGCAGGACAGACTGGCTAAGTAGCTCTCACTAGCTCCCTGGAGCATCTTGAGGCACAGCAAAGCACAGCCACCACAGGAGCCAAGGCTGCACCTCTAGAAAATGGGGCTCCCTGACCCCCTTCAGGAACCAAAAAATAGTTGAAGGCTGCCTTGCTTGGCAGGTTGGCACAGGCAAAGGCAGGACAGACTGGCTAAGTAGCTCTAACTCAGCAAAGCACAGCCACCACAGGAGCCAAGGCCGCACCTCTGGAAAATGGGGCTCCCTGACCCCCTTCAGGAACCAAAAAATAGTTGAAGGCTGCCTTGCTTGGCAGGTTGGCACAGGAGGTCAGCTCAGCATGCGGCAAGAAGGACAGACAGGCTAAGTAGCTCTCGCTAGCTCCCTGGAGCATCTTGGGTACAGCAAAGCACAGCCACCAAGGAGCCAAGGCTGCACCTCTGGAAAATGGGGCTCCCTGACCCCCTTCAGGAACCAAAAAATAGTTGAAGGCTGCCTTGCTTGGCAGGTTGGCACAGGAGGTCAGCTCAGCATGCGGCAAGAATGTGGAAGAAGATGGCTTGGCAAAGGCAGGACAGACTGGCTAAGTAGCTCTCACTAGCTCCCTGGAGCATCTTGAGGCACAGCAAAGCACAGCCACCACAGGAGCCAAGGCTGCACCTCTGGAAAATGGGGCTCCCTGACCCCCTTCAGGAACCAAAAAATAGTTGAAGGCTGCCTTGCTTGGCAGGTTGGCACAGGCAAAGGCAGGACAGACTGGCTAAGTAGCTCTAACTCAGCAAAGCACAGCCACCACAGGAGCCAAGGCTGCACCTCTGGAACCCTTCAGGAACCAAAAAATAGTTGAAGGCTGCCTTGCTTGGCAGGTTGGCACAGGAGGTCAGCTCAGCATGCGGCAAGAAGGACAGACAGGCTAAGTAGCTCTCGCTAGCTCCCTGGAGCATCTTGGGTACAGCAAAGCACAGCCACCAAGGAGCCAAGGCTGCACCTCTGGAAAATGGGGCTCCCTGACCCCCTTCAGGAACCAAAAAATAGTTGAAGGCTGCCTTGCTTGGCAGGTTGGCACAGGAGGTCAGCGCAGCATGCGGCAAGAATGTGGAAGAAGATGGCTTGGCAAAGGCAGGACAGACTGGCTAAGTAGCTCTCACTAGCTCCTGGAGCATCTTGAGGCACAGCAAAGCACAGCCACCACAGGAGCCAAGGCTGCACCTCTGGAAAATGGGGCTCCCTGACCCCCTTCAGGAACCAAAAAATAGTTGAAGGCTGCCTTGCTTGGCAGGTTGGCACAGGAGGTCAGCTCAGCATCCGGCAAGAATGTGGAAGAAGATGGCTTGGCAAAGGCAGGACAGACTGGCTAAGTAGCTCTAACTAGCTCCCTGGAGCATCTTGGGGCACAGCAAAGCACAGCCACCACACTCTAGAAAATGAGGCTCCCTGACCCCCTTCAGGAACCAAAAAATAGTTGAAGGCTGCCTTGCTCGGCAGGTTGGCACAGGAGGTCAGCTCAGCATCCGGCAAGAATGTGGAAGAAGATGGCTTGGCAATGGCTAAGTAGCTCTAACTAGCTCCCTGGAGCATCTTGGGGCACAGCAAAGCACAGCCACCACAGGAGCCAAGGCTGCACCTCTAGAAAATGGGGCTCCCTGACCCCCTTCAGGAACCAAAAAATAGTTGAAGGCTGCCTTGCTTGGCAGGTTGGCACAGGAGGTCAGCTCAGCATGCGGCAAGAAGGACAGACAGGCTAAGTAGCTCTCGCTAGCTCCCTGGAGCATCTTGGGTACAGCAAAGCACAGCCACCAAGGAGCCAAGGCTGCACCTCTGGAAAATGGGGCTCCCTGACCCCCTTCAGGAACCAAAAAATAGTTGAAGGCTGCCTTGCTTGGCAGGTTGGCACAGGAGGTCAGCGCAGCATGCGGCAAGAATGTGGAAGAAGATGGCTTGGCAAAGGCAGGACAGACTGGCTAAGTAGCTCTCACTAGCTCCCTGGAGCATCTTGAGGCACAGCAAAGCACAGCCACCACAGGAGCCAAGGCTGCACCTCTGGAAAATGGGGCTCCCTGACCCCCTTCAGGAACCAAAAAATAGTTGAAGGCTGCCTTGCTTGGCAGGTTGGCACAGGAGGTCAGCTCAGCATGCGGCAAGAATGTGGAAGAAGATGGCTTGGCAAAGGCAGGACAGACTGGCTAAGTAGCTCTAACTAGCTCCCTGGAGCATCTTGGGGCACAGCAAAGCACAGCCACCACACTCTAGAAAATGAGGCTCCCTGACCCCCTTCAGGAACCAAAAAATAGTTGAAGGCTGCCTTGCTCGGCAGGTTGGCACAGGAGGTCAGCTCAGCATGCGGCAAGAATGTGGAAGAAGATGGCTTGGCAATGGCTAAGTAGCTCTAACTAGCTCCCTGGAGCATCTTGGGGCACAGCAAAGCACAGCCACCACAGGAGCCAAGGCTGCACCTCTGGAAAATGGGGCTCCCTGACCCCCTTCAGGAACAAAAAATAGTTGAAGGCTGCTTTGCTTGGCAGGTTGGCACAGGAGGTCAGCGCAGCATGCGGCAAGAATGTGGAAGAAGATGGCTTAGCAAAGACAGGACAAACTGGCTAAGTAGCTCTAACTAGCTCCCTGGAGCATCTTGGGGCACAGCAAAGCACAGCCACCACAGGAGCCACTGCTGCACCTCTAGAAAATGGGGCTCCCTGACCCTCTTCAGGAACCAAAAAATAGTTGAAGGCTGCCTTGCTTGGCAGGTTGCACAGGAGGTCAGCTCAGGATGGGGCAGGAATGTGGAAGAAGATGGCTGGCACATTGCCACATACAGGCAGCCTTTTTCAATCACGAGGTTTAAGGGGAGTGGCTGAAGAGAGGCACTAGCGTCTAGATTAGATCAGCTAGGCAGCTAGAGCGTCTTCCATGACAGCTGCACGCCTTTTACTTACCGCCAATGGCCGGTCGGTGTGGTGTCTACAGGAGTACTCTATATCTCTCTTGAGGCTTGACAGCGTATGTAAAGTGTGCTCAATACTCATGCTATATCCACATAGGATCCAGCCCAAAACAAAAACAGTGGCTAAGTACTGTAGCTCCTTGGAATCTCGGTAGCACTCCCTTTTCTTGACCTCACTGACAAACTCGGGTTCGAAAGTTTTAATTTTGTCGCTTGAAGTTAGGTCCATCAACCATCCATTCCCATCAACCATCCATTCGTTCTCACGGATTTTGCAAATCATGCCTCACATTTGTTCAGGTCACCTATCTCTCCATATGTTTTGATGATCTGTGCATTTCGATCATAACTTTAATAAGTGTGTTCTGTTTTTTGAAAACATTCAGCGGATAACTCACCAAAGACTATTTGTCTCAACACATCATAAAGACCAGTGGGGCATGGCAGAAAGATATGTTAAATCTCTTCAAATTTGGAAATGACGCGCATCCAATGCAACAGATGTTTTGCATTCATTTTTTCAAGCGGCTTGGCCCCCAAAAAAATATTTTCTGGTCATATGGAAGGGGGGGTCAAGGCAAGGCATTTTATAGTTTACAGCCTTTCAGCTGCCCATTTCTGGTCCGCCCACTGGTCAAGGCGTGTCATTTTATAGCCAGTTATAATTTTCCTATGAGTTTTCAAAACCTATCCACCTACCCCCTCAGTGACCCCAATTCCTGGCTAGAAAATCACCTGCAAGACCCCCCCCCCCGAAAAGGAACCAAGATAGGTATGGTGCAATCCCTTGTCGAAAGGTGTTTCTCCCTGGAACAGACTTGACCCCGAAGACTCCTGATCTTCTTTTCTCCCGCTAGGCCAAGGACCTCTGAGCATCCTGCGGCTGAGCAACGGTCTGGGGGAAACCTTGGCTTCAGTGCAGGTGGCGGCTTCCAGTGTGGTGGTGCCTCCCCAGGACCAACTGATTCGATGGATTCGATGGATTTGGGGTTTGTTTCTTGGACATTTCCAAGGCCCTCTCAGGCGAAGCAAATGCATCGAAGCATTTTGGCCATTGGAGGATCTAAATCCACAGTGCCCGAGCTCTTTCTTGCTGCTGATTGCATCGACGGACTGGACCTTGCCACTTGAGCTCCAAAGTGACATTATCGACGGTGCAAGTTGGATGAAGACACCGTCCATGAGTCAACATAATCAACGGCGTCGAGTTCTTGTGACCTATTTTGATCCTATTTTGATGTCGATGTTTCTATTTTGGATGCTGGCAGCCGCTTTCCCGGCTTCCCCGTTTTACCTCTGCCAGAGCAAGGCACAGTGCCACGGTGATGGACGGGCACCTGGAAGTGAAGCGCCTGGCCATGCTGTCGCCCGCAGAGGAAGTGGAGGTCTGGGCGGTGTCCGAAGGCGCGACTTTACAAATGGCCACAAGCAGATCCAGAAAATGGATGAAAACGGAACATTTATGAAAATCATTGAACATCTAGCATGGATTGATATCAGGATCATTGTGAAGTCTCAATGATATCAATGGCATATTATGATGGTATATTATGATGTTCATGAAGTGATAATTATATGTACTGTATTGTACTGTAGTTATGCTATATGATCATAGTTATGTGGCATGCTGTTCGCCGCTCAGGCTCTGTGGCCTTTGAATCGCATGGAAGCTTCTGGTTGCTGGATTGGCAGCCCCGGCAGCTGCATGCGCTACCGTTGCCCGGACTCATGAAGTCTTCAGATGTCTTCAGAATTCATCCGAATAGCGAGGCGAGATGAGACATACAAAGAATCATCATGAACCATCATGAATCATCATGATGTGTTATATATATATAGCATATATATATAGAGCATATATATATATAGTTTATCAGGATGCATCTGAACCCCAAAAAGTCATCGACAAGAGCTCTCTGCAGAATTGATGGACGGAGCTTCTTTCGGCCTCAGGCCGGAGTGGCGTCCCGTGGCCATGAGGAACGGCCTGCTGATCTTGGAACGGGGCAGCTGCGAGTTGCTGCTTCCACGCTGCAAATTTCCAACATTGTCCAGCATAACCATTGCATAATCATGGCATAATGACATAATCCCGCTTGAGCTGAAAAGAATTGAAAAGACACTCGAAGTCAGTGTCAGAGTCCACCTTTGTTCTTTGTCATGAATGAATGCCGTGAAACAATGTAAACGAGTTGGCAGCATGATGCATGATGGAATGGGTGTCATAAGCACATCAACAATTATTTAAAGAGCAGTCTTTCCTTTTTTGTAACACTTTTTCCACGTTTCTGGTGACAACTGAGGTTTCTGGAGCCAGATTGAGCCATCTTTGATGGAACTCCACTGTGATAGTTCTTTCGACTGTGCTCATGAAATTGCGGCTCACTCTGCCTCAAGAAATGCTCAACAAAACAATAGACGTCAAGAGCACTGGAAAAAAAACGCATGGTTTGCATTAGTTTGCAGTGAATTTCACGAGCGCAGCGTGGCCAAAGATTCGCACGGGTGTGCCCTGTGCTGCCAGTCTCGCCTGTGGGGGTTTCACAGGTGGAGAGCAGTTGAAAACATTGCGGCAAAGGAAAGGGAGAACCCCGTACCCGGTAGCTCGAGTTCAGTCCAAGTGGGCGGTCTACAAGTTGGTAGTCGCGTAGTATACTTGGATGTACTTGGCATATCTCTGCGTTTTGGGATTGTGGTTTCTTTACGTTTCTTTCACTGTCCCCAACATTCCCCAACCACTTTTTGGTGCGAGGATGCTGCCAGCAGCAGAACTGTGCCCTGAGAAGCCCGCAGCGCCGACGCAGATGAGCCCCTGGCATCCCCCGGAGAGAGCCTTGGCAAGTCGCCATTCGGGTGCCAGGGGCTCAGTGGGGAGTCAGGCTCAGCAGGCTCGGCTCTATACTCAGCTTATCTCAGCTTATCTCAGCTTCATAGGCTTCATACTCCATGTATCTCCACGTGATGCCAGTTTTCTGTTCCCCAAGATGTCCCAGCACGAAAAGAGATATATATTTCAGTCTTGCGGTAAGACAAGATGTGGGATGTGAGATGAGATGAGATGAGATGAGTTCGAGGAGGTGATGCCCAACTGCCTGGTTTGGGCACTGCTAGGGATGCAATTCGGTCCATTGACAAGTGAGGTGCCAGGCAAGCATCAGTGGTTTTCCTGATCTTGGCCAAATATTAATTTGTTCGGGACTTGGTGGTCGTATGGCACACTGGAAGATATGGAAGAGTAATGAAGAGTGATGAAGAGTGATACAAAGGGCACACACAAGCATGCATCAACATAATATCAACATGGCTGCCCATCTGACCTGTAATTCCACCACGTGAAGCTAACATGTCGGGTACTCGTACCCTGCAACGACCACCATACTGATCTTTTGAGTATTGACCCGTGCTTCAACAATCTTCCGCATCCCATGCATCAATGATCCATTGATGTTCCATAGTAAATTCGACCGGTATTCCAGCCACATGTTAATTTTTCCATGATTTTCCATTAATATTCACCATTACCAATAATGGATCTTTTTACAAGATGATCTACTATGTCTATTTGGCTTTTCCTCATTTTTTGCTTGATCCATGTAGATGTTCCAAGGCGCAGGTCCGGCTCATTTCCCGCATCTTAGCACCGCCCGAGTGCTGTGCGTGGACACCAAGGCGTCGGATTTAGTTCGAAATTTGGGAACCAACTAAATCAACACTACCGGGATAAACCAAGATGTTACCAGGATGTTACGAGGATGTCATAGATTCATGATGTTGATTTGTGACGATGGATGATCATTTAAAATCATTAAAAAACCATCTATGTTGTGATATTTTGCCTGCGGCTCGTCTGTGTGATGCAATGCAATGATACCACATGCTGCCAGGTCGCAAGAAGTGAAGATTTACAGTGGAGGACTCTGGAGGCAGGACTGGCAAGGGTGAAATCGGGTAAAGTCTGCAGTGAAGTCTGCAGTCATTCTGGCAAATGCAGAGACTTGCCGGGTGCAAGTGCACTGCAAGTGACTGCAAGTGACTGCAAGTGACTGCAAGTGCAGACGCACACACAGAGAGAGAGAGAGAGAGAGAGGGAGAGAAGCGTAGCATATCATGAAGAGAGAGAGAGAGAGTATTTTTTTGGGGTATATCACTCACAGTTTTCTGCCAGCTGAGGGCATCCAGAAGTTTCGACCGAGGCTCCTGGAAGACTGGCGACCGCTGGACCCCAGAGGAGAGTCATGAGTCACGAGTCAGATGGGGTAAGATATGGTAAGATGGGACAAGGATGGACCACCTGGGACAAAATCGGATGATCGTTCCATTTTGTCATAATTATTAATTTATGTCATAATATGTCATAATTCTGTTCCATTTATGTTCCATTCATGTTCCATCTGAGGAGCGCGCGCAAATCTTCAGCGCCTTTGCTGTTCACCGTCGGCCATGCGATTGTTGTTGGCCAGTGCCATGGCCTGGGATTACGTGAATTTGAGCCACCTGGCCGCGACAGCTGGGTCACCTAAACCTGTCTATTGACATGGAGATGTCACAAGCCATGAGGTGCTCCCTTGTTGGTTCATCGGTTTCGGATGGTTTTGGGATCCCCTGGTAGTCACTGACGGTTGTATCATGTTGTATCTGAAAAGCTCAGATGGAAAGCCCCCGAGGCGACATGCTCCAGCTGAAGCAATGTGCTTGGCTCAGGCCCTTGCATTGTGCGGTCATCCGGAATTCAATGGAATTCATATGCAAACTGGACGTGCCCAAGGTCTTTTGTTCCTGCCTATGGCCAAATAGACGTGCAAACTATGTGACTTGCCAAGCATCTGAGTGCAGAACCATGCTAAAACCATCTAAAGCCTTCTAAACCTGTGCTTTGGACAGATGTCAGCCGCCTTGCTGACATGGGGTTAACCAATGTTGACGAGGCCAGGATCACCCCTACGAAGTTCTACGATCCTACCCTGCAAGGGGGGGAAGATGCGACCTACTCTGGGCCCCGCGCCCTAGCAGTCGATGATTTCAGCATTGTTCTTGAATGTTTCCTGTTCTTGAGGATGTCGGAATATGTTGGATGACGAATCTTGCTGCCTTGAAATGTAATGAAATGTGATGAAATGTGAAGAAATTTTGTGACTACTTGGCCTTGTTCTAGCCATATCGCAACAGGAGATCCCGATTCATAATTCTCGATTCATTATTTATGATATAGTATTTCTTGATCCGTTTTCAGAAAACATCGCACTTTAGTATGCGTTAGTACACTCTATCCAATAGTATCGAGCTTCCATAAATATTCACGCGCTGGATCAACGAGGCGAACGATGGCATGGTTTCGATTGGTTTCGTGGCAGTCGTCCAGGTGGATGGCTCCGCACCGCCGGGCAGGGCCTTGCGCGCAGCTCTGGACAGCTACGTGACACGCCAGACGCCCAGGACGGAACCCATTGTGGGGAGAAGGATGGAGAAATATGGAGAAGCGAGCTCCATGAAAAAAACATGAAACCACCAAGTAACATCCAAGTAACATCCACACCAATTGGTACGGTAAAGTGGTAAAGTCAATTAAAGGTTTCATTATGTTTTAACATGTTTTCACTATTTTAATTATCACTGTATCACCCCTCCCCTAGCCCTAGCCCAAGCCCAATAAAAAGCCAATGGGTGCCGCAGAGGTGCAGGCCAGGATGCCAAGAGCTTTGCAGCGCGGCGGCAAAGCTTTGGGAATCTTAAGGAGCTGAGGGTGTCGGTGAGTGGCAAGAGGATGTGGGTGGTACTTGGCGATATGTTTACCATATGTCTGTAATATGTTTACTACTATTGTTTACCAGACTCCTCTGGTCTCAAAGAACTTGGTCGATACCTGGTATCCTTCTGGTAGGATTGTGCGGTTGAGCAGCCAAGTTTTTGTTGTTTTTCCATGTTTTTCCTTTGCCTGAGTTGCCATGAGTGACTCTGTTGTTTGGTCCCTGAGTCCACTGATTCCACTGTTTTCGCGACGTTTTCAAAATTTCGGGTGATGATCGACATGTCTGAAATGTCGCCTTTCATGCCTTTGATGCGCCACCACCTGCAGGCCAAGGCATGGCGTTCGGCGGAAGGGGCGCTGCCGCAGCGGTGGCACCGGCTTTTGGCGCAGCGCGGTGTGGAAGGGACGCTGGAGCATGCTGGAGCTGATGGAGCTGATGGAGCGATTGGCAGTACCAGTGGTTACCAGTGCAAAGGAGATCGAAGAGATACGCTCTGGTGATGGGAAACGACTGGACATGATTTGATGACAGACCTGATAGAAACAGAAAGCAAGAATGAATAACAGATGTGCTACATGGAACTAAATGGTGCTAGTGGCACTAACAGCCAATTTTAGAGTGATTAGATTACCATTCCTTGAGATTCCTTGGCTAGTCTGCCCCATAGCGGTCTGCAGGACACTTGCGCCCGTGGTGGCCATGCGCGTTGGGTGCGGCTAAAACGATGAAATCTACGACTTTGAAGGCGAGATTTCCATCATTGACGCTGACACATGTAGCATCATGTAGCCCTGCAGCCTGGCAGGACAGCTGTTCACAGATCTTGTGGACTGCCGTGCACATGGGTTTGAGCGTCAACAATGCACATAGCTATCATAGCTAATCTCCTGCTCCGTATGACTACTGTATGATAGGGGTCCTTTGGAATTTGACCAAGGAAATAACTTCTTCGAAAGTTCAATCTCCTTCCTGCGACATCGGGTCACGGTCGCGTCAAGTCGTCAGCGAATCAGGTGATGCCACAACTGCATGACCGAGAGTTCTTCGACTTTTCGCCAGAGCTGCCTCTGCGGCCAGAAGCGCAGAAAAGAGCAAAGGGTGTTGGATATGTTGGGGAAAGGGGAGCACATAGCTGCCCCATTTGGAACATGTTTCAACTGTCTGCAATGTGAAACTATAGTGATCAAACTTGCCACCTCCCAACCGGAAAAAAAGAAGCAATATATTTTTTTTGCGCCAGGCTGAGCCGTACGGGCCCCAGCATGACCAGAGGATGTTTGAGTGTTGCGTTGAAAAGAAGCCGCTGCTTTTTGACACCATGATACACCTCGATGAAAGAGGACCAAGTTGAGTGGATTGGAAGCTTTGCTCGCTGAAGGCAACCTCTTGTACCGGCATTGCCTACGGTGGCTCTGCCATGTTTCATTTGCGGCTCTGCTGGGGGTTCGGCTGTGTTGAACACTTTGGAGAATGGAAACTGAGGTGGAATTACATTAAATCAGGTTTAACATTTTTAATGAATATAATAATATGATTCAATATGTGCAATGTGTTGACCATTTTCGCAAGAAATTCACGGAACCATGGCTAGTTGGAGATCATTTGTTTCCATCTGTGTCAAAATGTGTCAAATCCAGCATCGGAATACATCGGAATACATGGGATACAGACCGGCAGGTGCCGGTGAAGACCGAGGGCTCAGTGAGACGCTTGGTGAAGGCGACGGATGACCGACGACGACCCTGTCGGAGCGTTGTGCCACAGTAGCCACAGTAGCCACAGTAGCCACATGTAACATACTTATTAGCATCAATACATCAATTAACATCAATTAACATCACATGTAGCGACTTTTCTGGAACGGTTCCGACGGTTCCACAGACCAGGCAGAGGTGGTGGACGTGGAAGATGTGAAGCACTTAGAATACTTTAATGATCTTTTATGATCATTTATGCGATTTATGTACTTTTGGAAATTCTGGAAGCTGCTGGCCTTAAATCTTTCCAGATACAAAGTGATGCGGACGATTTGGTGAAGTCTTTGCATTTGTGTCTTTCTGGGTTGCCTCAGAACAAGGACAATGGGCTCCCGCCGGCACCTTTTCCAGTCGCATGCTCACGGTGTAGTGATGCATCGACCTCCATTTTATCATGTTGCCATTCGAAAAGAGCTGTGGTGGAAAACATCCCTGATCTCAAATAGTTGGTGTGTCTATTGCGTGCAATCTGTCCACGAGCTGTCCAAAGCACATGTTGCCAAGCACACCCACCCCATGGCACCCCTGCCCCTGCGACCATGTTTTGGGGTCAGGTGAGACACAAGCGGACAAAGACGGAGGCTCGGAAGTTCTTGAGAGTCTAGTGATGTCTAGTGTAGTTTTTCCATGTTTTTCCCATATGCCAGGTTTTTTGGAAGTCCTTGTGACCGGGACATGCCGGGACTGTGCGAATATGTGTGAACTTTTCAACTCAGCGCGTGGGGTCAGGCTGGCATAGGGGATCAACCTCCAGCAAAACGTGTGGGAACCCAACTGGAGTCTTGTGACCATGTGATGGCAACCCACTTGGCATTTGGAATCTCAGCATTTGCCTCCTGGATCAATGAAGAAACGCAACATGAGTTGTTTTTTCTGGGCGTGAGATCTGAGATCCTGAGGAAAGATGGAGGACGATGACGAGTGACGCTGCAGCATTTGGAGGATTTGTGATAAACAAACATGGCCATGGAAAATGCCCAAACCAAACCCTTGATGCATTTGTAGATGTGAGATGCGGTTACCTATTTCGCATAGACTGGTTTTCGACTGAGATTGTCGTGGATGTGTTCAGTGCAAAATCATCCCATATCAGCACATACCAGCCATGAGGTCAGATGATGGGCAGCCCCACCGGCTGCCACCTGGCTTTGGTGCCATTCCAGAGGACGTAGCCAACCAACGCTCATACTGTTTCTAACCCAACAATTACGTATATTACGTCATCCTCTTTCTGAACAATGCCAGAAGACGCAAACTTCCAAAACGTAGTAACTGCCATGGAATGAACATAGATCCCAAACCGAGAGCAATTGTAGCGCAATTAAGTAAGTTTTGTGACTAGCTTGGCTCAATTGTAGTGTGACCCTCGCTCCTCCTGAGCCAATGGCAGTGGCCTTCACTTTAGCGTCCTGGCCAGCACCAGCACCCAGCGATGCCCCGACCCTCCGTTCCCGCGCCCCGTTTGGGGGCAGCTCCTGGGCAAGTGGAAGTGGCGTGAGTGGCGTGAGTGGCGTGGCGCTGCTGGGCTTTGCCGCGGCGCTGGGCAGCGTGGCCAAAGTGACCAAAGTGGCGCGACGGGCGACGCCTTCGACGCCTGCAACGCCTTCGACGTCCAGGAGGGAAGTGCTACGCCTGGGCGGTGCAGGGGCTGCGAGTGCCGTGATGCCGCAGGTGGCCTTGGCCAAGACGAAGCAGGAGTGGAACATACTGGAACCATCGCTAAAGATCCGCTGCTCCGGACAAAATGTCAATGAGCAACTGACGCACCCATAATATCCCACAAGTACTTGTGACTTTTGTGCACACACATGCATGTTACATGCCCACATTGGGACCTCCACTGCCTCCACTTGTTTGATTTTTTTAATTGACTGCGAGATTCAACTCATGTAGGGCCCAGACACACAACGGCACCAAAAGATCCAAAAGGTTGTGTGGATTTGCGCCGTTTTTTCCACTGTTTTGGCCGCCGACCTTCTAAACCTGGTGCAGTTGTGGACGTGACAGGAGGCCGTCGACGAGCTCAAGTCGTACGGCATGGCCGACATCGTGCCCAGTGAGGATCCGCCATCAGGTTGGCAGTGGGTGGTCGAAGGTATTGGCCTTACCCAGGACGATTTGGGATCAGGATGGAGAGAATAAAATGAACAAAGGGCAGGGCATCTCACTTGAATCATCTTAAATCATTGGCTATCAGCTCATTTGGGCTCATTTGGGCTCATATTGGCCCTAAACTGTCCAATGGTGTCATGCTTGGTCTATTTTGAAGCTTGTCATGAGAGCACTAGTTCTTTCCCCTTTTTTGTCCTTAACAACCTTTTCACTCCCCAGGACGCATACATGAACAACCAGAAATTCTTGACTTCCGAGCCCACCATTACGCGCTTCTTGGCACCACCTTTCTGGAACGTTGCTACTCCGAGAATCGACTACAACGGCGCTTCCGGAACCATTCAGATCAACAACTATGGCAAGGGTTTCTTGATACATCTTGATACGGAGAGCCCGGAGAGCTCTATTTCTGGCTGGGAAGTGTTTGAGAACTGACCAACGTTGCTATCACACCCTGTAAACATGTGTAACAACATGCAACCCACATGCTACTGCCAGGGCCTTAAGTTTAAGGTGGGTTAGTGGGTTACTTAGAGTGTCGTCTTGGTCTCTTATGAAGTGTGGCAATTGCAGTTATGTGAAGCTATGATGAGCTATGTGCCATGGGTTTGGCCATGGGTTTGGCCTACCCTGATGCCAGGTGACTCAGCCACCATCTTCATTGACACCGAGTTCAAGGGCAATTTGAGCGACATGAAGAATGCTGACTACAAAAAGACCTTCTATCGTGCTTTGACCTTGAAAGGCTCCGGATCTTTGCAAGGTTTGTCCATCGGCAAAGTCACAGACTTGGAGGGTGCGCCAGGATACAAGCTGGTTGCTGGGCTACATGACCCAGCAAACTTCTGTTATATTCATATTCTTATTATTTCTTATTCTTCTTTTGCAAGGTATAATGTTATCCGAGATTGATTATGGTTCTATATGACTTCTGGTTGGCGTTGGTCTAATCTGTTGTTGTTTGTGTTCTTCGAGAGATGGATAGTTTCAAGATGTTTTAAAGAGTTTTGGAGAGCCAAGGTGGAGTTGACCTGGACTTTATTCACCGGAGCAGGGTTTGAGATCGACCGAGATGGCTTTGCAGTGATGACACAGCTGACCCCTGGAGGACCTTTGCAAATCCTGTGGGGTGGTGTCGTGTCTACACGCTTCAAGGAGATGAAGGACACCTTGCTGCAGATTGTGAAGAGCTTCCGATGTGCCAAGGTCCCACAGGGTATCAAGATCGACATGAAAAAAGAGTACAAAGATTTCAGCACCAACTTCAGAGAGGAACGATAAATCGACATAAATCGACGATAAGATGTGACAGCTATATGATTTCTGCTGCTTTGCAGCAACCATCTTTCATCATCTTTCAATGCATGTAGAGAACAATTTTCGCTTTTCGAGTTGGCAACCCTTGCCACTGCGTCTGGAAAAATGTTTGCATGAAGTGTTGCATTGCTATCATTGCTTTGGTGGCGGGTTGGGACTCAGTAGGAGTGCAGCCACTCTTTGCCACCTTGGAGAAGCTCATGCATTTAATAGCACAACGCAAACATCAGAAACAACGTGATGGCGTCTTCAAGAGCAATGGCATGTTTCTCTCTTGGCCCGTTGGCGCAGAATTGATGGGCCATGTCATCCAATGTCAGCATACATCATCCATCCAGATCCATCCAGATCCATCCAGATCCATCCTGTGTCAGTCCCTGCAGTCCCTGTTTTTCTTCCTTTCCATTGGTGCGGTGAGTGTAGGACATCGTGGAAGAGCGGCAGAGGCAGCGTGAAGAAGAGCGCATCTTACAATTAAAAGCGACGCAGCCTGGAGCCCCAGCAGTGCAGCAGGTCCGAGCAGGCATGAGCAGGCCAAAGATCGCACATATTTGGATATTTTCAAATTTGGACAGATTTGGCCATATTTGGCCTCTTGAAGTACCATAGAAATCCATAGAATAGAATATGGACCCCATTGAAAGCCTCGATGGAATGATGACGATTACGGTTTTGAGGCCCTGCCGCTTTGGCAAGAAATGCAAGAAGCGCGACTGCCCCAATGCTCACCTGGAAGGCAACTCAGGGATGGCAGTGACTCAGTACTCAGTAGATGCTGCGTAGATGCTGCGTAGAAAGCACCAGGATCACACGTCAAACATGTCTCTCTTGGAGGAATTGGAACTGGGATGGAATTGGGTTTGTTGGGGAATATTGTAACATATTGCATTCCTGGCGCTGGCTCAAAGCTTTTCGTCCTGTTCAAAGCTTTCTGGATAGCGCCTTGGCAGCTGAAGTGGGACAACATTAACACATGACCCTTGCGTCAAGGGGCGGCATGGCTTTTCCTGGTGACACATGACATCCATTGAGGTGTGATGGCCCGATTCCTAGCCCTTTTGGGGCTCTGCGCGGCCAGATGCCGAGTATTGAACGGAGGAACCAGGTGGAACATCCGGATTTGCACATCAAGCTCGTGACCACCAATTGGTGTGGTGGGTTTGGTCGCATGATCATCAATCAAGAATATGTTTGGGATCCAGAATGACAAAAGATAACAAAAGCAAAAGCATCCCGAATCCCCAGTCGTCAACCATAAGAACGCCGGTATGCCGATGGAGAGGGGATCAAATTGGGGAGGGGTTTGTCATTGTTTCATTTGTTTCCGCATTGTGATCATTTGGCGATGAACCCAGGTAGCTGAAGAGACTTTGGATGCCCTAAACGACGACAGTTGCCTCGCAGGACCTGGGGATCTTGGGGGCCTTCTGTGGCAAAGTCCAAATTGAGAATTGAGTTGGGCTGCATTCATCTGCACCATCGCCAAATCATAGTAGCAACATGTAGCAACATGTAGCAACATGTAGCAACATGTGGCAACCCAGTGTTTCTCGTTTTCTCCTTTTTATTCAGATGTTCAGATGGATTGCGTCAACGCAGTTTTCTCCCAAGAACCCCTTTGTCGTCGGCGGATGCTCGGAAGGCGATCCTTGTGAGCTGTCTCTGCGACAGCTGCGGGGCGAGCGCATCTCGCAACTGGTGGTGGACTCAGTCAATGATCGGAAATTGACTTGAAGTTGCACATAGCTGCACTATGTGATACTGTAGCAATCTGTAGCATATATTAGCATATGCACATACAAAATCATACATGGTTCTTCACATCATGGTTCCAAGTTTGAAACCAAAACCATCCAACACCAATAACCAAAGCAGTGTGATGTTTTTTCCAACCTTGGCTTTACCAGATACCTCGCTGCCATCTGCAACGCTAAGAATGTAGACGGCCCATTGTGTGCTGCGTACGGCTGCGGGCAGTTTGTCACCTGATAGCAGAAATTGGCCACGGTTGAGGCTCCGGAGACTTTGCACAGGTACGTAGTGGTCGGTAGTGCGGGGGGGGGGCAGAGTCCGAGCAGCACCCGAGGTCCGGGGCCATCCATGCCAGTGCACTGCACAATGTGCCAAGTATGGCAACTGCTGTCTGGGAGCTCAGGAGCTGATTTCAAGGTGTTTCAAGGTGTTTCAAGGTGTGCCGTCACACCACCGCTAGAATTGCGCGAGGACCTGACTGTTTTTGACAAAATGTCCGACAACTATCCACCTCCGAAGCGGTCACACCTGGCGCTTCTGAGGCTCAGACTACAAGGACATTTGTGAAGGAACCAGCAAGAAGCTGAAGGTGCTGGATAAATCCTGGATAAATTGCATTTATTTCAAGCCTATTTATTTGATTAAGTATCCTATTCTATTTCATTTATTTTCATTTGATAGTTATTTTTAGCCGCCTTTTATTCTGCTTTACACCCTGCATCTGCGGCCTCGCTTTATTGATTTCCACGTGCAGTTTCCAGTATTTTCCAGTGATGCCTTGGAATGTTCCTGGGGTATCTCCGGGCTTGTTGACCATCCATTAGCAGGCAGAGGCGATCCCACTGTGTGCCAACTTGGGCTGCACCAGCAAGTACCAGAGCAACCAGCCCTGCCAGCCGGGGATACCTAGTCACATCTAGTCACCCAAGCGGGTGGCTTTACTGGAACCACATGTCTTGGCATTGTGGCGATGAATTTTGGGTTGGATGGGTCTGTTTATATCAGGTCTTTGGATGTCTGTGGTAGAAGGCATCCATGTTGGATGTTGGATGATCTCTTGCAGACGCCAGCCCTCTAAGGTGCACTCCGAAGTGTAGCAAGTTCGGTAACTGCTGCATGGGGCCTCATCGCTGCGGGGAGCGGGTGATTTGGATTGATCTCGGCACTCGATTATCTGGATAGGGGTTTCAAAGTGAACGCTTGCCAGCGGATGCGCAGCGACAGCATCAAACTTCTGAATACATTCAGCTGATCATGAGACCTCACTTTCACATACTTTCACCGCCCATGCCATGACGCAAATGGATGCAAATGGATGCAAACGATGACTCGAGCGCCTGAGGCTCCGACTACACGGAGGCGTGTTTGGCCGACACCGAGGTGCACCTTGTGGTTTGTGGAAGATGTGGAAGTAGATCCATGTGGAACCGATGTGGAACCGATGTGGAACCGATGTGGATTCGGAGCATGTTGGAGCCGAGGAGACAAAGATCACAACGAGCTCAGAACCGGAGGTGCCCCAGGGGATAAACTGTTTGGTTTGCAAATATATGATATATGAATATATAACATATATGATATGATATATTTATTAATTATGATATGTTATTAAATAGCAATTACATATATGTACATCACATCCAGTTTCAAGAATGAGACGTATGTGTATCTATATTTATCATGCGCCGTATTGGGCGATTCCTGTTTTTGATCGAATTCCTGTGACACAGATTTGGCGTCATTTTTTTGTGCTTTGGGGTCGTTTTTTTGAGCTTTGGTGTTGTGTTTCTGGTCTCAAATTATGGTATGCGTCTTGGTTTTGGGTGCGCGTTGTGTTTTTAGGCGAGACCAAAAAAAGACATCGAAAGTTGACCCAAGTACATATACATATACATATACATATACATATACACATACACATACATACATACATCCATGCATGCATGCATACATCCATGCATACATACATACATACATACATACATACACACATACATACATACATACACACATACATACATTCATACATTCATACATTCATACATTCATACATTCATACATACATACATACATACATTCATACATACATACATACATACATTCATACATTCATACATTCATACATTCATACATTCATACATACATACATACATACATACATATACATACATACATACATATACATACATACATATACATACATATACATACATACACATACATACACATACATATACATACATATACATACATATACATACATATACATACATATACATACATACATATACACATACATACACATACATACACACATACACACACATACATACATACATACATACATACATGCATACATACATGCATACATACAGACACACAGACACACATACACACACACATATCTATATATATATACACACACACTGGGGCAATTTCGATTTGGAGATGGCCGAAACCAGAAAGGAAAACGTTTGCGCAAGATAAGGATCGCTCTTGGACCTTCATGTTTGATGGGAGGTTGAAACGACCACCGTGAGCACCACAACAGAGGACCCATTGATGTTTTGAATGGATGCAGGTGTTGTGAAGCATGCAGCCTTTGAAGCCACAGATCCACACCAAGAAATTGCTGTTTCTCATCATCATGATGTTTCTTGAACGTTCTCGAGTTGAATCAGTATCATAATTCATCAACATGCTCACCGAGTTTTGTTCATGACATTTCATGACTCATTGGTTCTGTATGGATAGCAAGCTAGCTCTTGAGGAGACATCGGTGAAATCGACCGAAGAAAAGGAAGCAGGAGCAATCGAGTCCTGCAGAGCTTGGCCAGGTCCATTCTTTGCCCTTCACGTTACCCATGCAAAATGAGGTCGTAAAAGCAGCGAAAACTTGAGAGTTCGCCACTATTGGCTCAACCTTTGCAGGAGACGATAATGCCTGGAAGGACACAGTTGACGGAGTCCTGCACATCAATGACGACTGGATCAAACAAGATACCTTAGACTCTTGGTCCCTAGTGGTTTCGTGTGCAAGCATGGCAAGCATGGCAAGCATGGCAAGCATGGCAAGCATGGCAAGCATGGCAAGCATGGCAAGCATGGCAAGCATGGCAAGCATGGCAAGCATGGCAAGCACCAGTCCACGCTCCTGTGGGATTCTTCGCCATCTTCGCCTTTGTTGGGATCATTTGGTATCCACCTGCTGGATTCCCTTGCCATCCCTTGTCGGCTCAGGATAGCAAATGTGAAACCGCCAAGCGTGGAGACGAATGCTGGGTGGCGGTGAGCTGGGCGTGAAGCTGAGATGACTTTCGCATTGATGGATGAAACTGATGAAACATAGGACATCTATGGAAAAATACGGAAAAGTAAAAACATGGGACTTCCAGCTCCGTCCTTTCAAAGTTGCAATCTGGGGCTAGTGATCTAGTGTAAGTTATTGGCAGGTTGATTCAATTGATTCAATTGTAACTGTTGCTGATTTTGCCGCAGAGGCGATGGCAGATGGAATCTACGAACCTCGGCAGGTAGAGACGAGAGGAAAGGAAAGGCATCACGGCATCACCATACCCCCAAATATCCAAGCTGTACATATATGATCATATGTATATGTATAATATATATTTATATGTCTGTATATATATATTCTAATATAACTCATACAGCGTTATAATCTGGTCAGTGGCAAGAAGGTGCAACGAAATAAAGAAACGAGAGGGAACAAAAAGAAGAGAGCATCATTCTTTCCCGATTTTTATTCCCGATTTTCTAAGTCTTGAGTTGGGCAGGGACTTCTGATAGTTTACTCATGGTATCTCAGATGCAACGTGAGGAGCACCCGGAGTGGTGGCCAGAACTGCAACCGGGCGCATCCAGTTTTGAAGAATTCCAAGCCCATCAGTTGCTTGGTCAAAATTTGCTGCAAGCTTCGACATGAGCATTGTTTCATTTATATTAGAGCAACCCGAAAAAATCGAAACCTAACATAATACCAAGATACATATAGTGATAAATTACTTTTCTTTTTTTTTGGTGGGTTATACTATATATTTTATTTTGTCACAGCAGACTTGAATAAGAGATAGAATTGCGTTGGACCAGTGGACCACAAGGTTTATATAACTATGTTTCACCATTGGCACTGGTTGCTGCCGGTTTGATGCTTGTGTTTGATTGGCAGCATGCCAGCAACCCGCTTCCGTAATCTTATATGGCATAGTGGCATATCACATCTATATTTTTCTTAGCCTATTAGCCTATCTATATATAGAATTACAATGCAATTATATATATTATATATACATATTGCAGGCACATATATAGAGTATATCTCTGTCTGCAGAGTACATGTGCATTGTATGTTCAATGATCTTCAATGCATTTGATGCTGTGTGTTTGGTTTATTTTGGTTTCAGTCATTTTTTTTATTCGCCGGGCACCGTGACGCGTGTCGATGCTCGATGCTTTGTGTGGCTTCGGCCGCCTCGGGAGACGTGATTCTCCAGCTGGATGTCGCTGAGACCTCGGCCCTGGTGGAAGCCAACAGCAGGGCGCTTCATTTGAAGCAGCGTCTTGCCACGATTGTTGGATACCCCCGGTTCCGGCAGCGACTTTTGTATCAAAACGGTGGTGAGATGCACGATGATGATTTGGTGACTGCTATGAATCTTCAGCTGGTGATCCTGAATTTCTGGCCTGCGAAATCCAAAGATGTGGAGAATTTGATTTGGGCTTGCGAGGAGAACTACCCGGAAGATCTCAATGTGTTGCTCCAGAAACCTCTGGATCCAAACATCCCGGACCGAGACGGCAGGGCTGCTCTCCATAGTGCCGCCTTTGCAGGTCATGGGCCTTGTCTCAGCTTGTTGTTGGAAGCTTCAGCTGACAAAGATGCCTGGGAGAGGGGCAGTGGCCAAACGCCTTTGCATGTGGCTGCGTTGAATGGAAAGTTGCAGGTCAGATCTGCTGTTTCATGGACAATTTGTTACAATTTGTTGTAATTTGTTCATTTTATTAAAGAAAAGTCTATGATGGTCTATGGTCACGAGATAAGAAAAGAATGCAAAAGATGGCAAAACTGTTTCATGGAATGTTGTTCTAGAATCATAATTTATAACGACAGGTTCCAAGATAGGATGCACAAAAATCATCAAAATTATCAACTACCCGTACCATCTCTTACCATGGAAGGGGCTCACTGGGCTCAACCCAACCTTTGCTTGTCGGGTCAGGTGGTGCGGCTCTTGCTGCAGGCAGGTGCGGACAAGGATAAGCTGACCCGCTCCAATGGTTGGACCCCGCTGCACTGTGCTGCCTGGAACGGTCGGTTGGACGTGGTGCGTGTCTTGCTGGAAGCCGGAGCTCGAAAAAATCCTCTGACGGAGGATGGTTTGTCACCTCTGAGATTGGCCAGTGACAATGGTCAAGAAGCCATCAAGGCCCTCTTTCTGGAATTTGGTGTTGATGCGAGATGACCCGACATCGCCTTTCTGTCATGAAGCTAACTTCGGCATACCATGAGCCTCCAGGTCAAGACATTGCCATTGCAGGATTGCATCAAGGGACATCTCCCGTCGGAGTTGGTGACATCACCATATTCGCACATCTTCGCTCCTACCTGGTGCATTGGAAGTTGACTACCGAAGCTCGCTGGGAGAGGAGTGACGCTGCGGATGAGAAGAATGCAGCTGCGAGCGAACTCTCGGTCTAGCTTTGCCCATTGCGATCCGTCTTGGATCACCAGCATGTGCGATTTGCCATCCGGCTTTGCTGAAGAGAAATCGCATGCTTCATTTCGAAAAAAAAGAGCCCTTGGTTTTTCCGTCTTGCTTTCGCCATGTTCATGTCTTATATTCTATATCATTTCGATTCATTTCGTAGATGCTGACGGTGCTGAGCACATAGAGTTGCCTTCGCTGTCAGATCTCAAAGCCCATAGTTTCAAGGAGTTTCACTTTCCGGATCATCGCAATCACAATCTGAGGCATTTGATGAACAACACACTTTGCCCACAGCCTTGCATGTTGAGGTGCGAGACAGATCCACAGGGTAAATAACATTGAAATAGATTAAATAGATTTAAATAACTCAAATAACTCAATTTTTTTCGATTGAACATTTGGCCAACTGAGTCACCACTGCCCGCTCGATGAGTTGCAAGATTCAGCGCTGACAGATCTGACAGGTACAAGCAATACTCTGTACCAACCTACCGGTCCAATCACCAGTACCCTATGAAGGGGGTGTCCTACGGAGCGTCTTCCAGGGCATGGCTTGCTGTTGAGCCGTATGCTGTGGCTGTTTTGATCTCCGACCTGAAGTTTTCAGCTCGTGAATTGATTGGTTCATATTGGTTCATCATGTTCACCGACCACCTTGACATCAGTTTGGAATCGAAGCATACAGCTCAGGGTTTGGTAAATGTCCCATTTGGGGGATTTTGAACGTCACTTTCAAGTATCTGTTGGAGATTATATCCCCAATATTTGGGTGATGTTCAATTAGGACATTTACCAACCCGTGTCGGATCCCATGTTTGAGGACCATCCTGGCAAATTCATGGGAGATTATGCCAGGTCGCCCCTGAAAAACACAGGGGTACTGCTAACAGACGACGACTTCATGACAGCACCGTGGCCTTTCATTGCACATGGTATGCACAGATGTACATTGTAGCTGATGGTGGCGCCTGGTGTCCAGGATTTCCTGCAAGCTCAGGATATCACTGGTGCCATGTGGGACAGCTGGGGGCGCGGAGATTTAGATCTGCTTAAATCCATGGGAGTCAACACGTTCCTTGGAGAAATTGGTGAGACCTGCGGAAAGGAAATGATAGGACCGATAGGAATGCAATGGAACGCAATGGAATGCACAATGATACATGGATTACATGTAATTACATTACAATTACATTACATGGGCAGCTGCCAAGGCTGAGAATGTATGGCAATGACCTGTCTCTGAGCTGCACAGAGTCAGATTTCTTCCGAACTCGGCTTAGGAATGATGAAGTACGATGAAGTTACCATAGTTACCCAGCTGCTTCTGAACCTGAACCCCTTATGACCATTTTTGGCTCGTTGGTGAGGAACTATAGCCATCGGAGCTTCTTAGATGGTGCCTGGAAGCGTGACATGGACATCATCGTGGGGCTCAGCGATTGGGGCTTCATCCAAGGGCCGGATCCCTGTGACAGGTACGCCTGTCTTGGAATGTCTTGGTTCATGGATAGATCTGGAGAGCTTCCAGCAGAATCATGGTATGGCAGCCATGACATTCGACTGGTCTGGCAGGAATGGCTATGAATGCTTCTCGCAAGTCTACGAAGCTTACAAGAACAACCTCCTCAAGGGCTTCGCCATTAGGAGCGGACCTGGGGATGCGGAGGGGATAGTATGGATAGTCAGGTCCTCCATGGCGAAACAAATTCCCAACACAATGACGCACAATGAAATTCACAGGAATGGATGGGATTCACATACACATAATCATAACATAACATAATAATTACATGCATACGTATGTATGTACTTACGCATAGGTCCGTCCGTACGTACGTACGTACTCACACACACATATATATAATATAATCCGTTATAATTGATATAATTAATATACATTTATATGATATGTGCATAGTCCCTCAGCGGCAGCCATTAGGGCCCGTTGCTCAGTTGCGTCCAGTGGCCAGAGGCAACCTTTTGTTGTGGTTGTGCTCAGCCATCTGGGGTTGGCAAATGAACAATGTTAGCATCCATTCGCAATATATAATTCAAACAATTCATGTACATACACGTTAACATATAATTACATAGATGTGCACACGTCGAGTAACAGTAACAGTAACACACATCGAAATGGTTTGAAAGTCTTCGTTCCAACTTATACTTCGAAATATCTCAAGTATGTTCTATGTACGTATGTTCCATGTATGTTCCACAAATCTGTCAGGAATTACACCATGTACCACCCAGCGCTGAAAGCTCTGATCATTAGCAACGAGCCAGACTTGAAGGCCTGGAGCTCTGAGATTCGACATCTAGACATATCTAACTCTGTTTGAAAGAAGCACAATGCCACAAGATGCAACAAGAGATACAATGTAGATAGTTTGACGGCCACACACTTTCCCAAAGATTTTCAGAGCTTCGCACATTTGTTTGAGCAACTGCACTCATGGAGTCAAGGTCCATCCACGGACTTCAGACTCTCGGTCGCAAAAAGGAGCCAGGTCGTTGCGAGCCGTTGAGGGCGCGTTGATGCGCCTTGCTTTTCCGCTCAACACCTCTGCCTATCTCTGCCTCTCACTGAGGTGTGCCGTGCGATGATTACTAGCCTTGATGCCATTTTGCAGGCAGAAAAGGACTGGGTTCAGGGTGGTTTCCAAAGTTGTATGTGTTGTATCGATTTTTTTTATTCTTAAGACAGTCAGATATTGAATCCGATTCTGCTAGATTGGTGGCTGTGTTTTTGTTTTCCGATGATCATCACCCGCCTGGATACACTTGGGAAGTTGGGCCTGGACCTACATTACAAACAGGTTTCAAACTTGGGTGCTGTGTCGGTCGTGTATCTTTGTGTAGGACCTAAACATCACAGAGAACCTTTGCAGCATTGGTGGGGCATAGTAAGGCCCAGTAAGGCGCAGTGGGGAAGATGCACCACTTGGGGCTGGAGATCCTGCTTACTCCTGGATGGGCATACTGATCATACTGGATGTCGAGAAAAACAATGCCAGGGATGTGATCATCACTCGTTGGTTCCGGATACGCTGAACTCATGTGACATATTTTGACATATTTTGACATGTTGAGAGTCTGTTGACATGTGATTTTCTGAGAAGTTGGCCCAGGAACCCCATCGCTCTGACTGTGACTTTCTCCTTTGCTGCCTTCGGTAGGAATCCGCCTGGGACACTTGACAGCACTTCCTTTGCTATGTCGGATCTATATCACGACTAGACTATATCGCGATTATACTATATATATATATAACTTAATATTCCATAATATTCCAACATATTTCATATGATACTATGTCACAATGTACACATCAGATCACGCCGGTTGCCAAGAGCATCGGAGAGCAGAAGTACTCGGGCGCCAGTCGCTAGACGGCGCCATCCTTTCAGATGTCAGATATTGGGTTTGATCCGAAGCACCATTGCAAGGCTGGGGCAAATGCAGGAACTCTACGCATGCCTGCAGCACCCTGAAGCACCGCCCACTTACTATCGCCCGAGTCTTGTCAAAGTTGAATTTTTCAGTTAGAAATCTGCAAGCACTGTGCTGCACGCATGCAGGAGGGAGTGCCTTTGGCTTTCATCCACCGTTGAGCTCTAGATGAATCATTCATATCATTTCAAATATCATAATTTAAAGTTCTTATCATTAATTTATCAATATTTAAATTTATCCTTCATCTATATCCTTATTCTGACCATGACTCTGCTCCAAGCTGGAGATGTTCCCAGAAGTTTAAAGACAAGACTCCTTTACCACGTCAGAGTCTCTCGGCCTTCTGATCCCGAATCGTGCAGTTTACCATCCAACCATCCCAGCCAGCTCTAACATGAAACCAACCTGAGAGGAACTTCCAAACAGCGGACATCCCAGGAATATCCGCGTATATTCCCCAGAGATCTGCTGGTTCCCAGGAAGAATGACGTCCTTAGTGCCTTTCGCAAGCGCTGGGTTCATAGCTTCAACACGGCGGCCCCTGGCCACGTCGTGGAGGCTTGGTGGGCCGTTGGGGGAAGGTCCCAAAGCTACCACACACGGATTTTTTTTTGACCCAGATGATGTTTTTTTCTTCGAAATATTGTTGTGATGTGATATTTTGTTGCAGCCCTAAAGTTTGATGAACTTCAGACCCTTGAACTGACCGGTAGCTGTTGTGCAGGAACTCTTTCTGGACAAGCAACTCAGTTTCATCAACGTTGATAGAGGTCATACGACAAGGGAAACCCGTGGTGGCGGGATGGCACTCAAGTCTAAGTGAACATAGTGAACCATCACTAGATACTCACAGCTACTCTTTTCAGAACAATAAAAGGTTCAGATACCTTCACCTTTTGGAAAGCGGGAACGTCGATGTGCTGTCCCATCTTCTATCAGCCTTGGCGGGTGCTCTTCATTGCCCCTCCATGTTAGCCATGTTAGCCCAGGATCCAGAAACACAGGTTTGCATGGATAATTGAACAACATTTGAACAACATTTGAACAACATTTGAACAACATTTGAACAACATTGAACAACGATAAGGACCGTTTTGCCAATTTCCCCCTGCATTTTGGCGACAGACGGAGATTGGTGGAAAAAGACACGATAAACGGTACAAGCAGAGCAGATGTCCACCATCCAAGGTACAAAAAAAGTATCTTTTGGTCAGATGAGATGAAGATCCCTTTGTTCATTGGCGAGTACCACAGCGTTCACGTTGGTGCCAAGGCCGGAGAGTGGGGCGATCAAACGCATCCACCCGGGTCTGAACAGCATTTTTTCCTCAAAGGATCCCATTTCAAATTTAAATGGTCTATGCTCTTTTCATCAGTACGATCTACTAAATCTACTGAAGCTTGATGCAATGCTGCGCAATTCTGTCAGGATGATCTACCCATTTTGGTGGAGGATGCCCTCTCAGCAACGTATCCCTTCTTCCTTGGCTACAACTTTTTTGAGCCTGGACACTCGGGGAGACTACGGAAGACTCGGTTAGGGCAATCAGCATGGCTGGTGACACTGGGGCATCACTGGGGCATCACTGGGGCATGGCTGGGGCATGACTGGGGCATGACTGGTGATACCGATGTGAATCATGTGGCTGAGCAGGTTCTCAGTGCGCTATGACAAGGGCGGCAGTGAGAAGAAGTTTGGGATGTTCGGCTACGGCAGCTTGGCATATCTCGGTAGATCTTGCCATGCCATGCTCGTTTTTTTTGCCCCCCTGGGAGAACTGAAGGCATAGACAAGGGTAGGTTCTCATGTTGAGATGGTGTAAGTGTAAGGTTTGGAAGATGGTGTCATTCTGGTGGACTCCTATCAATGAGCTTTGGACTTTACATGACTTTACATATGCAAAGATCTGAGGTGATAGCCCACTGCTGGATATGAACTACAGTGGAATGGCCGGGCCCTGTAGACGGTCCCAAATGAACAGACCGCAAGCGCGCAAGCGAGATGACTGCCCAGTCCCATCCAGTCCCGTAGCAGCCGTAGCATGATTGTCAGGTCTATACCATTTGGGATTTGGCTTGGGTCTCAGAGGCAACCTTTGCTCATCCAACCTGGCAGTTGGAAATTCCCAGAAACACGGGGAACATCTATGGATATGTTCAATATGCATCAATATGCTCCATTGCCAGGGTCAAATGGTAACCCTATGGTAACCCTTCTTAGTCTTGGTTGATTTGGTTGGACCTGGTTGGCTGGTAAGGTACCAGCGCCCGACAAGTACGGATACCCGCTGTCCATGGCCTTGAGCAATGCCTACGGCAAGGTGCTGGTCATGAATTTGGTTGATGACACAATATTTGAAACATTTTGAAACAAATGTTCCACTCATATTCCACTAATGTTCCACAAGTGAAGGCCCTTGGCCCCTTGGCCCCTTGGCAACCGTGGCTGGCATGCTCCCAAATCAGTTTGAACTGGTTTTTCTGTTGGGCGGCTTTGGTGTGAGGGCAGCAACTTACCGAAGCTTCGAAAAGCACCGTGCTTGGAAGAGACTTTGGGCGTCAGCTGAGGTGCTTTCCGGGAGCTGGGAATGGGGAGATTGAATGGGAAAGGGATGGAAAGGGTCAACGTAAAAAAAAGCTGCAGAATGCTGCTGAAGAGGTGATCCTGGTGGGTCAAAGACAGCCTTTCCCTGGTACTTTCGGTGTTTATGGTGCCTGGATGGATGTCATGACAGCTGTACTCGGAGTTAGTTCGGGTTCCCTTCGATTTCGGCAACATGGAAGAGACGCACTGAGGGAACATTTGGATACATTTGCAATGTGTATAATACAATATCAATAAACCATGATTTTGCTTGGAAAGTCACCAGATTGCTTGGCAAGGCTCGAACGCTGTCGGAAAGCTGTTTGACGTCAGTGCCGGTGGGTGAACAACGTAGATAGGCAGACATTTTTCTCGCTTGGAGCGGCTTGCAGCCTCTCATGAAATTTCTGCAGGAGCCAAAGAGCGGCTTGCAGCGTAATTATCGTAGCTCAATGTGTGGATATGTGTGAATAGTTGTATATAGCAGGGGTTGGGGCAGGGGCCACAGCTCCAGAAATGAGCTGGTTTGAGCCCTAGTCAACATGCTCATCATGAAGCATTGTGTCCAATCCCCTTCAGTGAGAAGAAAAATGGCTCCACAACTCGAAAGCTTGGATATCAGATGCATGGCCAGTTGACACTGACTGGGATTGACATGGGCGGTAGGAACCCCAAAGCAAGGTAGATAAGGGTAAGAAGGCAATTGAACATCTCAACATGAGTATCATGTGGATAGAACCCGTAGTTATAGATTTTGATAGATTTTGTCTCTGTTTGTTCACCGCCAAAATCTTGGCGACATACTGTGACATACTGCATATGTTTGACCCGCTGGAACTGATTAACACCAGGCCGCGAAATCGACTCAGAGTTGAATCCGTGTGCTTTCGGACGCCGCTGCAAGAGGCCTTATGCCTTATGCACCACACCACATTGTATCATTGTATCATGGTATCGTGTCTTTTTTAAATAGAATTTTTCAAAACTACCCACCAATGCTACCCCCGCGACGAGATTTCCAACGCAGCTAGAGCAGCATGGTTTTTGTAGCCCATTGCCTTGTTTTGAGTGTTATTGATAGGCAGGGCTGTTTCTATGACCATCCAGATGGTCGGCTCATCGATGCTGTCCTTCCGGCTTTGTTACGATGTTTCATCATTTGATAGCTGTTTTGGTAGGCCCAGTTGTTGCAGTGGTGTATTTTACCTGAACCATCCTGAACCAACATCCACATCAAATGCAAACTGATCTGATAAGATTCCGGCCATCGGGAGATGAGATAAGTGGAGGCTGTGGAGGACTCAACTCGAGCACAGAGCTGTGCGTGTCATGGCAGGACCCTACCAAGGGAATGTGTAAATTCGGCGTCCAGTGTGCCAGGGGGGCTCAGCCGAAACTTTTTGGATCTTTTTGGCATATATTTTTTGACATATTTGACATATTCATGATTATATTCGATATTATTCGTGCATGTTCGATCTGGAAGCGGTAGCAGATTCATTCGAGTCATTCTAGTCACTAGTCTGGTAACTTCAGACGAATTTCAGACGGCCCACCAGTTCCAAATCTTTTGCCAGTCCTCCCGTTGACTTCTTGATGCAAGATGTGCGCTTGAAGATGGTTGAAGCGGCAATAGCAATTGCTCGACTTATGCTCACTCCCTGCATCCCCTAGCTCCATGTGTACAGCGCATGGACAGCATATGGACTTGTGAAGTGCGCTTAAAAAGCCGTGTTGTCAATGGCTACGCTCCCGAGCATCGGCGTCATTGGTGTTGGCACCATCGCCTCTGCAACCATCAGAGGCGCATTTTGTGGAGCCGCGGATGTTGGGAACGCTGTGATCCACAGTGACGTATTAGTCGTATTAGTATATATCAGTCATATTTAGTCATATTTAGTCATATTTAGTCATATTTAGTCATATTTAGTCATGTTAGTGACACGTTGGGAACGCTTATGGGCCTTGATAAGTTGTGCTAAGATGTGCTAAGTGCATAGGCCTCTGAACCAATGCCGCAAACTTCTGAAAGTGTTCGAAGACACTCTGAAACGTTGTGCTGCAGAAGGGTTTCTGATGGTATCTGAATGTATTTGATGGTTTCTGGATGTTTCTGGATGTTTCTGGCATTTTCAATCTTTTCATATCTTTTCATGCATGTTTTGGCTCTTTCACATTCTTTCACGATGTTTCAGGGCGGTCTCTGTCGATCTCCTATGCCAGGGCTCTGCAGCAGTGTCACATGCTCAGTGGTGCTGTCGCCGCGGAATGCGGAGAAAGCGCAGCAGCTTCGAGATGAATTTCCGGAAGTCGTTCGAGTCGCCAACAGCAGCATGACCAGAAGACTCAAACTCAGGACCAAACAGCATAGTGCTAAGCAATCCTATGCCGTTATGCCAAAGGTAATATCAATGGATCATCTAACCAAACAGTTTGCCTTGACATGTTCCATCATTTTCTCCCATGGTCCACTCTTTTTTTTTGGTGCTTCGGGGAACCTAAATTATATATAGGGCTGCGAACCAGAATGCTTCTCGCCTGTGTGGAATGGTTTTCTATGATGGCTTCCTGGTCCTTATATGAGCCTATTTTCCTTGAACACGTGATAACATGATGACATGTAAACCTTTAAACTGAGGGAGAGAGATGAGTCTGACATCTTTTTTTACTTCTTCAATTTGGAACTCTCCGCCGTAGTATTCGTTAAATTCATCAGGAATGAGATTCCAAGATGTTCCAAGATGTTCCAAGGCAACCAGGAAGTTGTCGACTCCTGCGACTGTATTGTGGTGGCTGTGCTACCTTCTCAAGCCTCCATATTGTCCCAGCTGAGCTTTCCGAAGGATGTGGAAGTCGTGTCGCTGATGGCTGGGCTTTACCCTCAGCAGCTGCGTGAGCTATGCGGCGACATTCCAATTTCGGTGGTCATCCCGTCTCGTGGCAAAACTGGGAAAAGCCCGGGATTTTGCGGTGGATTTCTTTTGTTTCATCAGGTCGCAAGGAAGTTAACTTAACCGTGTAGATCCGTGCAGAGTGTACAGGTCTTGCAATGCATCGATGTGGCAGCGCATACAGAATTAACATGAGGGCCTCATGGACTGACGCGTTGCCAGTCCTCCGACAACGCGTGCCGGCTCTTGCAGAGCAGCTTACCGCCATCCTTTCTACCGCTGCTGCCTCCGGGACAACGTGCCTCCACGAAGCAGCCGCGTGCGGGACACATCTCGATGCCCAAGGCTGGACTGCGCGACCTCCCTGGGACATCCTTCTCTCTGGTCCCCGCGCCCCGCCGCCCCTCGACGAAGCAGAGCCCGGCCTCTTTCGGCACGGCTGGCAACAACCCGCAGCGCTCGTCCTTCATACCGTACACAGAGCGCGCGAAGTGATGCCTCCCCTCCCGGAAGCTGAGCAAGCTCTCCTCCGCTCCCAGTCGGGGCCCCACGCTGCAGCATGGCTCACTGCCATCCCGACGGGTCCCGGACGACCTTGTCTCCCGAAGAAATGCAGGTGGCCTTGCGACGCCGCCTCCGCCTCCCCTTGCCCCTAGCCTCGCGCCACTGCGGCGGCGAAAGGGGGTATGGTTGCGGCGCCCCCTTGGACCCCTTTGGGGACCACGCAACCGCTTGCCATCGCACCGGCCTGCTGGCCCGCCGTGCGAAACTCGTCGAGCTGGCCTGGCTCCGGGTAGCGCGTGAAGCGGTCGGGGCTGAAGGCCACGTCATCGCCCAGCCACTCCTGGGGGATACGAACATACCAGGCGTGTCTTGCTCCGATCAACGCCGATTGGACATCATCATCTATGGGGCCGACCCCCACGGGGTGGCGCTCTGCGGGGACGCCACCCTGGTCGCGCCTTTGAATCGGCGCGGGCAGCCTACTCACGGCTCTGCCACCCGGGACGGCGCGGCCCTGGAGGCCGCCGAGCGTCGCAAGCACCGGGCTTACCCGGAATTTCGGCGTGTGGGGCCACAACGCCTCCTTGTCCTCGGCGCCGAAACGGGGGGGCGATGGAGCCGCGACTCCTTCTCCCTCATGCGCATCTTGCTGACTGCCCGATCGCGCCGCACGCCGTCCCTAGTGCGCCGGGCCATGTGCTCTGGGTGGCAGCGGCGCTGGTGGGCGCTCCTCGCCTGTGCGGTGCAGCGTGCCGTGGCGATGAGCGCCACCTCGGCGCCATGGGCTTCCACGCCCCCTACGCCTGCCACACCCCCTTGCCCCCTGGCCATCCTCTCTCTGGCTGACTTCGCGGGCCCCAGCCGCCTCGGCTTCCCTGCGTAGCGCGGCCCCTTCCTTCGGACGCGGGACTTGAACTCTGCAGCTAAAAAAGTGCGCGGAAAAAAAAATAACACCAGCAGTTGGGGCTGCATTGCATTTCTCCATCACGTTAGGTATCCGTCGATAGCACGGCGAGAGGGAGCCGCATTGCTGCTTCAGCCAAGTCCTGTCGCACTCGCCATGTTCGAGAGCTTGGGGAGATGTGTAGCAGTGGAAGATGAGGAGAAGTTCAGGTACTTAGCCTGTGCTGCTCGGACTTGTCGTGTCAAACGGATCCATAGGAATCAATAAACATCCATAGGATGTGGTGGATAGGATGCGACTTTTGGATACTTTCGGGGCATCCTCAATGTTTGGAACATCCCAGTGAACACACACACACACACCCGTTGAGGCCTCTGGACTCATGGGAAACCTCTACAAGCAGCGGCTCACAGTGCAAAAATGGTTGGAGCCTGGAACTTACGCACTTGATCCGCTTGATCCAAAATGTCATAGATAATTACTGTACAGATATGTACAGATTACATACACTCATTTTTTGACATCCTTTTGCCGTAATGCTCGATCACAATCGATGTGATCGTCTGAGACTACTTTGATTCTGCCAGGTCCAATGGTGTTGACGGCAATATCAGTGCGGCATGGACCGGGGCCAGCTTCGCTGCATTCGCTGCAGATAGTGCAGATGCAAAGGAGGACACCTTCCGCCAGCTGTTGGAAGAACAAACCCCTGGCGGTCTCAATGAAAAGGTGCCGCTGCAGTTGAACCATCAAGACACATCAAGCAACATCACGACACAGATTCATTTTGCCGAAAGCGTTTCATCAAGGCATCACCGGGTTCAGGGTTCACTATGGTGCACTTAATTATTCTGTTCATTCTGTTCATTTTTGAGGATCCCCATTTGGTGCCCCTGGTTGAGTTCCCATACCCTCACCCCAAAATTCAGTCAAAGTAATTTCCAGATATGTCAGTTCACAAGTTTTATCCAGTGGGAACTTTGGGGTCAGAGCATCAATTTCATCCAAGTGCCCATCAGAAGAACATCCTTAATATTTCGGGATGCTATGTCAGTGTCAGGGCTGAAATCCCAGGGTTGAGCCCTAAAGGCCACACCACATGGGGATTTTGAGGTGTGGCAGATGTTGGACGAAGATGGCAGCAACCGCGCTTTGCGCTTTGCCCTAACTTCGGTCCATGGTCGTTTGCGACACGGTCGTTTCGATCCCCAGCTGGCGCCGGCACAACAGAGGGAGAGGGAGCAGCGACTGACCGCGGCGCCGCTAGCGTTGCTGGTGGCGTTGCTGCGATGGCCCTGGCGACCAAAAAAGTGTTGTTTGTTGCAGGTTGTTGCAGGATCTTCCAGGGCAGAGCTAAGTGCGAGGGTTGTCCGAATCTGGAGAAGACGGCTGGAAATGTATTGGAATGTGAGAAAGAGATCCGAAATGGTCTGAAATGGCGTTTTAGTATGTTATAGTGTGTATTAATGTGTTATACAACTCATGTTTTGCTCCTTGGCATAGTGGGCGGGGCAGGTAGAGCAGCGGAGCTTTAGTTTGTCATGTGAGGATTTAAGATCATGAGGCTGTTGGGTTCTTGAATGATATAGGTGGCAGTTCTGTTGTGCGTCATTTTGCACACACAGTTTCTTCTCTCTTCTCATCTCCGCATGCCGGGCTCTTCGGCATCCGGTTGTTCAAGCAGCGTTGCGCCTCTTTGGATTGGCTTGCGAGCAGTGGAAGAACATGGAAGAACTCAAGATTGGACTCAGATCCAAAGAACCAGCAACTACTTAGTATAGCCGCTTAACCTAGCAAGCGTGGCTCGACGTGAAAGGTTTCGTTCTCCCCCGTGTTTCAATGATTCTGATTGCGCCCCTTTAATTCCTTGCGTAAATAGTGGGGCGAGCCTTGAACTGATAGCTGATAGATGCTGATAGCCAAGTTGATATTTGATATTTGTTGATTGACATTAAACCCCATTAAACTGACATAGCCGACATAGCCCAGCCATGGAAGATTGGAAGCAATTCTTGCCAACGCTTTCGTCCATTGCCCACCGCTGTACCAAGCTGACGACTGACTCCTGGGATGTGTTGGATGGGTGCTTGAAGCCAGATTGGGCAGTGGCTCTGGCATCAGAATGCCTTCATCTGGAAGAAAAAGGATTACTACAACTGCATCGATTTGAGTTTGCTGCGAATGGTGATAGAGTTGAATATCAACATCCCGGCCGCAGTTTTGTAGATTTGGAGGCTCCAAAGATCAGCCCTTCTGTCGCAGCTGCAGCCCCTGGCCTGGCACATTTTGCTTCTGAAGCGGCACCGCTGTTGGCGACCCAACTTCTTCAAGAAATGCCTGGGCTGGCGCTGAAACAGCCCAGTGGGGTGCAGGTGAAGCTTCAACTGACGAAAGGTCAGGGAAGTGCCCCTTGTCACTATGACACTTCAGAGACAGCTCCACATCGGCAAGTCACCTTATTGCTGTATTTGAGTGAAGGCTATCAGGAAAATTATGGTACTGAGCTGGTCTTGCAACCCTTTCTGGGATGTCCGGTGAAAGTATCTCCAACTTTCAACCGGGGAGTGATTTTCCTCTCAGATCGAGTGCTGCACTACACATTGCCACCTACTGAAGATGGTACAACGTTTGCCCGATGGCTTTTGACAATTTGGTTGGATGGAGATCAGGTTGATAAGGCGGTGGGACAAACGCAAAGGTGGCCGCCGCTCTTGCAGAGGCTATTGGCTCCAGCCATTTATTCGGAAATGTATTTGAAGTCCTTGGAACAAAGCATGCCGCCAGGAGCAGCCTTGAAGGCCTTGAAATTGGCACAGGAAGAAGAGATTGCTTCCATTGAGTTGGACGAAAGCTTCGCGGAAATGCTGCCAGATTTGAAGGACGCCGCAGCCACCGCAGCCACCGCAGCCACCGCCACGGCAGCCATGCGAAAGACAACTTGGAAGCAAGACTCTGACGACAGATACGACAGTCCCATGTCCCCAAGGTCAATGTCCCCAAGGAGGGGTAGCTGTAAGCGTGTACACAGCGAGCCAGCGAGCACCTGGATCCAAAAGATGCAAAGGCACTGCAGGAGAAACTCCGACACCATGTACATCCATGTAACACATTGTATCACATTGTTTAATGCATATGCACCCTCGTCGCATTGCAATCATTGCATTGCTATCCGTCCTTGCTCCGCTGCCAAGGCGCGGGCTGACTGTCTCTACTCACATCCCGAAGGTGGAGAGTTGGACAGGGGTTGAAGCAACAGAAGATGTCGGAAGCATTGCGTATCATGAGTTTTCTTTCAGGTCCATATACGTCATATTCATGATATGAATTGATGTGAATTGTATGACTTATATGTCCATGCATGTTCTCATTCCAATATTGACGTGTGCGGGAACGTGTAAGGAGGCTTAGGACATCTTAGGACCTAAGAATCTGGGAGCATCTGGGAGCCACTTTTCGCAACTGAGAACTGGGGTGGGATCACCATCGCTCAATGAGGGCGTGCTGCTGTGGGACTGGAGCCGAAAGTTTGCTTCTTTTGCACGGAATCCCAGACTCCTGCCAGTGGCTGCCAGTGTGATTGCATCTTTGTAAGACTTGTAAGGATGTGGGTTATGGGCCGGCGGCAACTCCGACAATTCACGTAAATGATCCATTACACAGGCACACATGTTATATGATGTTATATGCAAATATACACGAATATGCATACATGTACACTATTTATATCAATTGTATGCCGTATGGCCTTAATTTTGTTCATTTTTATAATTGCAGGTTAGTCAGAAGTGTGAATCGTGGGCCCCTTCTAACAGCCTCAGCATTAAGGTCACCAAGATGGTCATATCGCAACGGAGTGCCCTCGAAATCCAGAAAGCTGGTGCTACGACCGATCGGCGCGCTGCTCAGTTGCCTGCTTTACAGCGCGTTTGGAACATCACCCTGCGCATTTTAAATATGCACTCGTCACAGGCCTATGAATTAGTTGTATTTATATACAAAATACCATGTTACCATGTCAGTCAGTTCCTGAATTTTCTTTAAGGCATTTCAATACTGGAAAATTGATTGGATAATCGTGGCGATTCACGCCAAGTATGCATAGCCCCGGCAATGCCCATGAGTGCATCAGCGTTCGGATCCGTTCGGTTTTCGAGCACGGCATGAAGCCAATGTTTTTGTGTTGCACGGTGTTAAATGATTTACATGCCAGGCCGCCATGCGGGCAGCGCAGGCCAAGGGGTTACACAGAGGACGAGAATTTTAACATGAAATGAACATGAAATCAATTGATGTGATGAAATATGTGAATTATATGAAATGTAAATGATGAAATGATGAAATGTGAATTATTTGCATCAGTTCTGCTTAGTCCATGCCAGCTGCATTGCCTCTCTTGCTTGGCAGGGCGAGATCAAGGCCCTCACCGCAGGTTAAGAGGCGGAGGCGAAGGCTACCCGAGGAATATGCAGAAACTGAGGGTTCCGAGTGTTGTCTAAATTGGGAGACAATGCGAGGCATGCTGGCTGGTTAGGATAGGTGGGAATGGTGATGAGGCTCAATACCAATAATAAACATTGGAAATGAGATGTTATGGAGCTTTGGTGCAAAAACCGTATGCCATTCAAATTTGGTGGATGGTTTGGATACTGTTCGAGTTGATGTGTTCAGGAATATGACCAAGCATTCGTAGTCCCAACTCCGCTGTTTGGACAGCATAGTGCCCTAGTGGTAGCATTTTGGTCCTGCAGGCTGGCACTTGCAGTTGATCGCGAGCCGGGGCTCCTCAAAAGGGAAGTGCGCGGTAAGTCGCGAAACAATGCGAAATGATGCAAAACGTGAGCAAAAATAGAAAGACAACCGAAAGAGATTGCTTACGACTAGCACGAACCCTTTTTAGAGAAATCCCATTAGCATGACAGCGACTGTCATTGCAGGACGGCGACTTAATTACTTGGTGACTTGGTGCCAACCGTAAGAGCTCGAATGACCTTGAGATTTACACCCCGCCTGGACATACATCTTCGACAACAATCTGTCAACCGTTAGGGACAGCCTGCTTCAATGACGTGCTTCTTCCATTGGCTTCGGCTTCTCTTGGCTTGTACTTTCATCTCAAACATCTTCAGTGGTGACATGTGATGATCATTTTACAAACGGGACAAATGCTTGCAGATTTTGTCAGGCCAGTCCTTGCCCAAACGACTCCTCACTAGCCTACTGGAACCCACATTCCTGGACAAGCCTTTGAGTGATTCGCTCGGGCTGCAACGGAGCCTGAACAGATATCAAAATTAAGAATCTTGGAACCATGGATCATCATGGATCATGGACCTCATGATGCCAACAGACTTTTATCTCTTGACATGCGACATGTGGCAAGAATTCATCAGATCTTGAACCTCTCAAGCCGCAGAGTAGAGAACGCAGCAATGGCACGGCGGAAACTACTGCTCTGGCTAACACCGTTGCTGCTACTGCGGCAGGCAGATTCGATCCGATTCGCCCAAACATCTGAGTATGCAGAGTACCATGAACGAAAAACAGCCAAGAATAGTGACCTTCTCTCGTTTTTGTTTGGAGATAATGAGGAAAGAAAATAGGAAAAGTATGGAAAACTGTTGATAGGGCCATCTGATAGGGCCCTTTCTGGGTCGGTCGGTCCAGGATGGCAACTTTGCCGTTCAACGACGCCTCATGAGCCGGGTTTGGATGGGGACTGGGATCACTGAGTGCCCTTGAGGTTTTCCAGAGTTTTCTGGGAGGGACTTGCTCGTGTGGTCACCTTAATTACATTTGATTTGGGCCCAAGAGTGCGGCATTTGGCAAATCCAGGAGCGAGCTGCATGTGGGCGAGAAAGTGCCAGGCGCCCTGTGCTGACACTGTATATTCGTTTGATCTTGTATGGCAACATGACAACCAATTTTAAAATACTAAAATCAAACATCAAGTTTCATGATCTTTTTGTGTTCAGCAGGACGCTCTACGGGTGCTGCGCTGTTAATTTGCTTACCTGGGAGGCGTGGTGTCCCATGTCACCAGCAACTTGGTGCTCGTGGATGTTGGCGTGGAGAAAGAGGGTCGCTGCCTTGGCGAAGTTCGCGCATGTGTTGAAATAGAAGATCTCTATTATTGATGAAGCTTGATAAACAGGGAACATCGACATTCAATCTCATGTTGAGTGACCCTTCAGTCACCGTACACATTAGCCAACTGATCCATATTGATGATCTTTGATGATATTCGATGATATGGATCCGTGCTTAGTCCATTCCGAATTCGAAGCCACACATCAGGCGTTTTGCCAAATTCCAAGATGGCGCCTGGCAGCTCCAGTGCTGAGGTGCTGCATGGTGACTCTTCTAATGTCCATATTCTTGGGGAAGGAGATAGAAAAAGAACTGATATGAACAGATAATATGTATAGCTGTATATAACTGATATAAGATTAAAATAGATTAAAGATTATTAATGAGTGGGCTTGAAAGGGTTTGAATGGGGTAGTCAGCTTCATCGATATGTTAGTTTTCCTGTTGCTTTTTTTGGGCACCGCATTTCATCAATCTGATGTGTTTGGCACTGACGCCAGGTGGCCATTGGGGAAGAGGTCGAAGTTTGGGTGTCGCAGGTGAAGAACGAGGAGAACCTGCGGCGCAGCCAAGTTCTTCTGTCCAGTGACTGAGAAGGTCTTCAGCCCCTCCGAGCCGGATGCCTTGCAGGCCATACTGCCGTCACAGGGTGGGTTCCGGGGTTGCTGTTTCTGAACTTTATATCATTTTATTGTATTTGATGTCCTTGATCGTTTGCTTTCTGTGCTGCCTGCCCCGGTGCGAAGAAATGATAATCTATGTTGATAAAGAATGACTAATTGATTCATGATTTTGGACATTCATAATGTTTGATGACTATGGAGGTTATACAATGTTGTACAATGTTATACAATGACTATCAAGCATAGCTACTCCGCTACGGCCAGGAGCTCCAGCAGTTGGACGCTGAGACCTGGCTCCGTGGCTTCGTGGTAGCCCAGCGCCCCTTCGGTCTTTTGGTCGCCGTGGCCCCCCCGAACCAGCCGGGCGTGGCACGGGGCGCGAGGGCGGTGGGGGTGGTGTACCAGAAAGGAGCACAGGAAGAGGTGGGATCTGAAGTGCCTTGGATCAATGGTGGAATATGACAATAGAATGGATCATATTATGCTTACAAATATAAATAGTAATGAGTAATAATAGTTATATGATAATTGATAATAATTATTATTGTACTTATTATAATTATATATATATGTGTGTGTATACCTCTCTCCATCTCTCCCTCTCTCTGAGTCTCTCTCTCTGTCCCGCTATATGATATACAATATTCATATAAACTGTGCCGATGTATGTGTGCGATATGGCAGGAGATTGTATTGTATACATGGATGATTAGGCTTTGAGCCGTGTTTGATGATCGGCCACTGACCTATGGACTTGGGAAGTGCAGAGAGCTATGGATTTCTGGCAGATCTCCAGGTTAAGGTTCGAATCCTAAACCTTGACCTGGAGAAGCAGAAACTCACCCTGACCATGCAGGCAGAGGCGGACTTTTTTTTGCACTGATTATGGCTCTGCTGCTGTGGTATGAACCAGTCAGTGAGAATCCCATTCCAAGGTTTGAATACGATTGAACGAATAACCAAAAAGAGGATGATGATGATGATGATGATGATGATGATGATGATGATGATGATGTATTCACAAGTGCCTATCTCCAAACGTATCTCCAAATCGATCATGCTGATGTCATCGTGGCCGACATAGGCCCCACGGCCCCGCAATGTGGCTGCAGCTATGGAGCCTTTTAAGACCCTTGCCTGTGCATGACTGGTGCCATCCGCCTTCTCTGAATTTGAATAACAATCATTGAAGCTCATGCACCTTCATGAAACCAGCAATCCGGGATAATGTGCAGGTCAAAATTAATGCAGGTCGCTTCTTATCCCCTGAGGAATTCCGGTGAGCTCCGCGGCCGTGTGCTGAGTCGTGGCAAATTTGGAGTTTTTGTGGCGCTGAGACCACCAGATGGACCGCTGGATGGGTCTGAGACGGTGGGTTTGCTCCACAAGAAGGCTGACCCGCGATCTCTGTGGACCTATGGGCAAACAGCCAATCACATTTCCAATTTTTCTATGTTTTTCATGGTTTTTGCGATGACGAGTCTTAAAATGTTTCAGGCGCCTGCATCATGATGGCATCACTTAGCAATTTCTTGGATGCCCCCCGAGGTTAGGTAAGCCGGTAACAACCGATGAGTGTAGCCAGCACATTCCTCCCTGTTTTGCTTTATATCGATTCGATCGTGTCGGATCATGATGATGATGATGATGACGATGATGATGGTTGCAACAGACCTGGTTGGATCCGGGTGGATCATCTGAGCCGATGTGAATCGATGTGGATCGATGTGATTTGCGTGAGGCCAGCATCCCACGGCCAGAGTCCGTGGATCAGCTGAAGCTGGGGCAGGAACTTGAGGGCGTCGTGGTGCGTACCACGCCCGAAATGACCCTGATCGATCTTGGTTTCAAGTCACGCGGTCTCTTGCCTCCGGCCAAGATGATGGCTAAAAGTGAAGTGCCTCAGCTGCAGACAGCACCATAAAGGCATACAAACAAAAGATGCTAAAGATCAATTAAAACCACCCAAAACATCCCAAAACCAATGACTCTGCTAATGAGGGATGGTGCAGCGCAGCGACTTGTGATTTGTGCCAGGTCCACGTGGGCGATCGCCTGCAAGTTTGGGTCAGCGAACTCCGAAACACGAGTTTGATTTTGGCCAGCGACCCGAAGAAGGCAAGACATAGCAAGACATGGCGAGACCTTCACAGACTCCTTATTTTAATTATCTCAATTCAGCTTATTTATTCTTAGCCCCACACGACGGCAACGTCGATGATTGCAGATTGTTTATGATTGTTTATGATTGTTTATCATTGTTTATGATTGTTTATGATTGTTTGGACTATTGGCTGGCGTTACTCTCTTTCTGGGAGGGTGCTTGCGTGCCAGACATTCAACAAGGCATTGCGGCATTCCTATAGAAATTATCACAAACTATATACTTTCCAAGATCTAGATTGTGACACGGAACGTGAATGTATTTACCGTGTTTCAGCTGAAGGAGAATCGTGCGACTTTGTGTTCTAAGTGTTCTATGCAGCTGTAGTGTATCATAGTGTATCCGTTGTTTATATATATATAGTATTATATGTATTTGGAAATTTATATTTATTAATTTGATTGTTGATGCTTAGAATATGGCTGGCCATGCGAGGTGCTGAGCGTCAAGTCCCTAGGCCCTGCCGCATCTTTGAAGGACTGAGCATGACTGGGCGGTGCTTATTGGATGCTTTGTAGTGGCAAGTCACCGCACCGCTTCCAGTGATGAGCATCGAAGCACCGTTTGGTGCTTCTAATATCGGGTGTAGAGGTCATGTCTGAAGTGTCATGCTCCTTTGATGGTAAAGCTCGCTAATGCAGTAGCTGAAAAGCAATTGGCGGCAACTAGACATAGATTCACCATGATACCAGCCCGAAGCCAACATAAAATACTGTCAACAGAACTCCCGATGATGCTACTAGTAACCTACTAGTAACTAGTTTGAGAGCACGGATTGATGCCAATCTCATCCAATCTCCATATGCTTGCAAATTGCGATTAAAACATGAAAGGATGGCTGTGTGACGGTGCGCTTTTAGATCTTTTAGGACTATGAGATCAACACCTGGTACCCCGGGGTGGTCCTCCGCCTTTCGCCTTTCGGTGCTTTCGTGGCTATACGATCGACGTCGGGTAAATGGGCTGAAGGCTTGGTGAAGACCAACCAGATCCAGGGCAACTTGGAGCTGGGGGCCGAGGTGCCGGTTGATCTGCCGGTTGACCTGCCGGTTGACCGTATGTGTTAAAGTCGTGGTGACCCATGTACATCCCATGTAGATCCCATGTAGATCCCATGTACATCCCATGTACATCCCATGTAGCATGACAATCCATGACATTGAAATGACATGGCATGATTACTCCAAGTGAATGAGTGGGTTGATTCGTGGGAGCCGCCAGTTTCGAATTCGCGTGCTGGATGTGGATCTGGCTCGGCGCCGCATAGACCTCTCGATGCGATCCAGCGAGTCTTCGACGATATCCGCGCGCTTCGCGACGCTGCAGAAATTGAAAAATGAGATCTTTCCAGCTCGAGTGATCTCTGTGGAGGATCCGATGGGGTTGACAAATGTTATCAAATGTTCCAATATGGTGATAGAGAATGATAGAGATTGATAATGATACCAGTAGTACCGCACAAGGCGGTGGCGGAAGTTTCAAAAATAGGAAACCTATAGGAGAAGTTGGTTGTTGTGAATCAGGGATGGCAGAGCGAAGCCACTGATTGACCGAAAGGTGGTTGGAGTTGTGTTTCCTGGAATGGTTGCAATGGTTGCAGTGGTCACCTCACCCACAACTGCTGGATGTAGTGTGATGTACTGCAACTGTAGTTGTAGTTGTAGCGTAGTGGAGTTGTAGTTGTGGTGTAATGTAATTAGTGTAGTGTAGTTGCAGTCATATAGTTGTAGCTGTAGTTGTTTTGTAGTTGTAGTTGTAGTTGTTGTGTTGTTGTAGTTGTAGCTGTAGTTGTTGTGTGGTTGTAGTTGTTGTGTAGTGTAGTAGTAGTAGTTGTTGTTGTTGTAGTTGTAGTTGTTGTTGCTGTTCCTGTAGTAGTAGTAGTAGTAGTAGTTGTTGTTGTTGTAGCTGTAGTTGTTGTAGTTGTAGTTCTAGCTGTAGTTGTTGTGTAGTTGTAGTTGTAGTTGTAGTTGTAGTTGTTGTAGTTGTTGTTGTTGCTGTTGTTGTTGTTGCTGTTGTTGTTGTAGTTGTTGTAGTTGTAGTTCTAGTTGTAGTTGTTGTGTAGTTGTTGTAGTTGTAGTTGTTGTAGTTGTAGTTGTTGTGGTTGGTGTTGTTGTTGTTGTTGTTGTTGTTGCTGTTGCTGTTGCTGTTGTCGTCGAAGTTAGGGTAGTTAAGTTAGTGAAGTTAGTTAAGTTAGTCAAGTTAGTCAAGTTAGTTAAGTTAATCAGCGTCTACTTTTTCGACATCTTCACGTCAAAAAAGGCTCAAAACCCTCAGTTTTTTACACTTTTGACTTCGAAATGAACTTCGCGCCACAACGGCGTGCACTTTTTCGACACTTTTTCGACATCTGAACCTCCAAAAGTGGTCCGAGACCGTCAGTTTTTAACACTTTTGACTTGGAAATGTGCTTCGCGCCACAATGGCGTGCACGTTTTCGACATCTCAACTTCCAAAAGTGGTCCGAGACTGTCAGTTGTCAGTTTTTAACACTTTTGACTTGGAAATGTGCTTCGCGCCACAACGGCGTGCACTTTTTCGACATCTCAACTTCCAAAAGTGGTCCGAGACCGCCAGTTTTTTACACTTTTGACTTGGAAATGTGCTTCGCGCCACAACGGCGTGCACTTTTTCGACATCTCAACTTCCAAAAGTGGTCCGACAATGGTGTGTTTTGTACATTCTGACTCTGACATTTGCTTCGCGCTCCAACGGCGTGCACTTTTTCGACATCTCAACTTCCAAAAGTGGTCCGCTCCTCTAGTGTTTTGTCCATTTTGACTTGGAAATGTGCTTCGCGCCACAACGGCGTGCACTTTTTCATGTCTCATCTGGCCAGCTGGCTCCGCACCCGCCGCTTAGCGAGCCTACTTTTCGACCCTCCGGAGCCACAAATCATTGGAAAAACACAGTGGGTCGCGACTTTCCTATCTTTTCGCGCATCTACCTCTTCTTTCTTCTGATCTTTTCTCTTCTGACTCTTCTCACCTCTGCTTTTCAACTGTCCATACTGTCGGAAGTTTCACTTCTAAACTTCCTTCGATTAGTAATAGAGAATGTGCTGGGTCTCAGTATTTACCTTTGTACCTTGTTGATCTTGTTGTTGCTTTTGTGGTGTTCAAGGAGACTGGCGCTGAAGTTGAACTGCGACATCCACAGACGAGCGTCCTGGGATGGCTCTCCAACGAGTTACAGAAAGGCTCGAAGCCGCTGAAGCCTGGAGAGGAGATTGAGGCCATGGGCTGCACCATGATTGAAGCACTGCACTGCATGGCCACTGCAGTGCTCACTGCAGCACTGCAGCCCTGTATGATATGTGTATCGACTGAATCGAGTGTATCGCCGTGTATCGTTCTTGGTTTCTATGTATAGGGGTGCAACTCTCACGAACCCTGGCAAGGGCAGATTGCTGTACTTCATTTGTGTTCATGTGATCATCTTGCGTGGCTTGGCAATGCTCGGCAGCTCAGCAGGTTCTGATCGTTGACATTGACATGGAGAAGTACACAGTGTCCCTGTCTGAGACCCAAGTGCCAAAGGGCATTCGAGACCAGGAGCGATGACAGGGTGTCAGATGACTTTACGTAGCAAGTCAAGTTGATGCAAGTAGTATAGTTGTAAGATGTTGTATGATGTTGTATGTACACATGTATAATTGCAATTAGCTTGTGTAGTTTCATGCAGTTGGAACATTCTTTATCCTACACATCTATACACATCTCGTTCTTCTTTTTCCCCTCTCTCTCTGTTTAATTTGCGTATATAAGCAATTATAAGCAGCACCTTAAGTGCACTGGTGAGACATTGCCATTCTTGGGGACAGATGAGGCATCCGAACCACCGATGTAAGAGAACACACAATACACCGAGTGCTTTGGACCCTATGTTTTCGGATGTATTCGGTATTCTTTGCATTTTTTCCGTGGCAGATGCCTATGGAGTGCATCGCCAACACGGACAGGACTTTGCATCACTGCTTGCGGATGAGCTTGGGGAGGATGCCATTGACATGCTGCGGGAAGGCTGGTTGGGTCCCCAAAGCTAGAATCGTTTTGCATGGACCTTGACCAAAAGATTCCTCCGGGATCCTCCGGGGGCAGTACGGGTGTTAGCGCAGTTTCCTGATGAAAGTAGATTTGTGATCGGTCTTAGAGCAATTCTTCGTTTATAAGACGGAGCATGCTGTTTTTGAATGTACAGTATTTGACAGTGTCTTTTCAAATTGCGCGGCTCCTTGGCAACAATTTAAACATGCTAAACACGGTAAGTTGGTGAAAATAGTTTGTTTTTTCCTCCGAAGCAGGGATGCATACAACCGCATGAATCCGCATGAAAAGTTGCAAATACCAGCGTTTTTGAAAGCAGTTTACATCAAAACAATCTCGAACACATTCTACACTCTCAACTCTCAACTGTTTTTTTGTCAACTCGTTGTTGGTGCAATTTTATTTGAAAATAAGACGCAGCGCCAACGCCAAACAAATACTGCATCAGTGCTTGACGCACTTCTGTGTGCAAGGCAAATATGGTATCTGCAGTTTTTTTTTGACTGCGACTCGCAAGCAAAAAAGCAAAGCGGTAGAGCAGGGTTTTTACATTTGCGGAGGTTTGTTCATTATTTCGCTGGGTGCAGAAAAGACGTGCCACGACATCGCCAACAACCAAGCTTGTCAAGATACATGGTCTTCTCATGTCTTCTCTTCATATCTCAAATAAATCTGGGACTTAGAACTGTGGGGTCCTACAATCCTCCGATTGTAGGTGCGGGATATTAGATCTCAAGATATTTTTTACTCAAAGTGCCTTCCTTGTCAGGTGATGAAGTGCAAGTCGTGGCCAACATTTCTCAGCGCGGGCTGGATCTATCCCTTGTGTGACTTCCATCTTTTGCGTTTGCGCCGCATCGTGTGTGTTGGTACCCTTTTGGCAACGAAGATCCCTTGGAGGGATTCCATACGATTCCATGAAGGGCACCTTAGTATCAAATTCCATCCGCTTGGGATGAAATGATGCTCAAATTTGTTCAGTTTTCAGCTTCGGAGTCGGGCCTTTGCCACTCCTTGTTCCAGCAGCGACGCTCCCAAATGTATAGCTTTAATAGGACCGCGACGTATTGATCATGTTTTCGTAACTTTTCGGGGCTCGTCAAACCGCCAATGCTCGGCAACAAAGGTGGTCCTACGGTTGCATTCTTTGTGTCAGGAAATTAGTCCATATTCTTCCAATGTCCTGCAAAAACAAGAATCCTTCAGGATCCCATCAGTATCAGGCATTCTGACCGTTCTGACCGTTCTGACCAAGTAATTATTTGGATGTGTCCCTATTTGTGGCATGCGGAAAGGGTGCTGAGTCAGTTTCGTTGCAGCATTGAGACCCCGTCTGCTTCCTTCTCATTTGCTCCAGGTAGGACATTCAATGTCAAGAATGTCAAGCGTGTGTTCATCATATATATAATTATTTATATATAATTATTATACTTATTCCTCTTTCACTGCTGCTGAAAATCTTTGGATTGATACTGAATTTGCATCAGGAATCTCATGCATTGAGATACTTGGGCATTTTGAACATTTTTGAACAATTTTTGGCACATCATTCAGCTTTGACAGGTTTGATCAGATTTACATATGGCGAATCTGACCTGTGGCCGCCTGCCTTAATCTTGCGCCATGGATTCCGATGAGGAAGAGATGCGCGCCATGCGCGCATCCAATCGGTGACCCCTGCGGCCGAGCTCGGGAAATTGAAGGGAGTTTGCCAAGTTTGCCCTGGTTCAGGCAAATTTTAAAGATTTTCAACGGATTTGTCGATTATTGCAATGTTTTGCCTTGTTTGGCCATTCAGTGAATTCGGTGTATTTTCTGACACCTTGGGTTATGTTGTAATCGTTTCTTGAACTTAGCGGCTGAGAGATCTAAGAGCCTCTTTCTCTGCACTGCTCAAAGTTGAAGCTTTTGCAACTCTAGCCCTGTTATGAAACGGCCCAACCGCTTTACCATTATGAAGGCATAGTCTCCATTGTGGAGTGTGGTATGTGAGCGGCACGGCGTGTACATCAGAATTTCCACTGCACGACAAGCGAAGTGCGGCCCTGCTAGCACCTTTTTCCTACCCTACCGATAACCTCAGCAGTAATAACTGATGACACCTTGTTGGGCCAAGGGTTTTCAACTGGTTGCATTTGTTGACAGGTGGCTTACCAACACATCCACAATTTCAACCTATCCCAGAATCGGTTGAATGGCCGCGGTAGGATGTGCAGGATGTCCACATGTCGACATTTTTTGACAACAACATTTTCCCACGCGCATATTACATAATTTATATAATATAATTTACATATTTACAACCCACTGATTTTATCAGCAATGGAGACGCCGCTGAAGCGCCGATCCCCGGTGGATACATCACTGCCCTATCTGGCGATATATGCCACTGGGGTGAAATTCCGGGAGTCGCTGTGCCTCCAAGATATTGGGGATATTGGACATCTGGGGACCTGTTCAGATCTCAGACCCATCTGCAATGTTGATAATTTTGTTCATTTGGATCATTTGGGTTTGAGAGTGGAGGAATTCAAAGTATCCAAAACGGTTCGTCAGGGAAGTTGGGCCCGGCCATGGGAAATCATTTTTTTGACAGACCTACATGCATCCATACATATCCATACAGATCCATACATATATATATATATCCATACAACATCAAATACAGCTGCATAGATATGTGAGATGTGCGATCCATCACTCGGCAGGTCCTCAGTGGCGCTTGCCAGCCCTTGCTGATGTACGAGATCCACTCAGCAGGGCTCGGGGATTCGAGGTGTCAATTGTACATGGTCACTTGGCAGCCCAAAAAACGTGGTTGTGATGTGGAATCAAATTAGCAGCAAATTTGGAAGCATTTATGGAGATGTTTGGAGATATGTGCACACAATCATATGTTTTTAGATAAATAAGTGTTTTATATATATATATATACCTATGTGTGTGATATGATACATTGAAGATAGCATCTTGCACCATCTTGCAGCATCTTGTAACTTCTGCCACCGTGCCGTTCATTGCTTTCCAGGTGCCCTACTATTTGGGCATGTCTTGCACAGGGCTCCTCTACCTTTGTGGAAAGTCCAGCAAAGTTGCCTCCTGGACTGCCCTGGTGCCCAGCACGCTTGTGGCCCTCTGGGGCATGACGGCGCAAAGTTTGAACTGGGCTGGCAACATGCGAGACACTCGGCCAAGCATTTTGTTCCTGATTTCGTTTGGGGATGGTGAAGTTTTGATTCTACTCTGGCAGTCTGCAGATGTCTGCAGGCCAAGATCACCAATGCAGATGGAGATGAGGTAGTTACCGTAGTTACCTATGGTTAATTCGCGCATTCTGTTATGAATAATGGGGTAAAATAACACATGTGAGTCACAGTGAGTCACAGTCAGATAGAGGCCGGGAGCTCCATCTTTGCAGTGGTCTACGCCTCTGTCACAATTTGGTCCGCAGTGCTTTCGCGGTTGCTGCTGCAGCAGCCTGCCAGCAGCTTTTCGCCCGGCTCCGGTTATACCTGAAACTGGTTCAGGTTCCCATCCTGGCAAGTAAAAGTTCATGAAGGTTCCAATTCTCCAGCGGTGGCCAACTTCTTTCTATCTCCAAAGCATACCAATGTAAGATATGTAATCGCTTGTCTGGTTGGACCTTAGGCGTCGTTTGAACCGCTGGCAGTGGCTGAGCATTTTGAGCGTCTTCTGCGGTCTTGCGCTCACAGGGCTGGATGCGAAGAGCTTGGGCCCAGAGGTGTGCAGAGAGGTTGCATTGCATGTTGGGCAGCATGTTGCAGCAGTATCTCAAGGAGAATCTGTTAGCAATCTGTTAGCAGACTTTCCTGCTGTGACTTCTGTGACGGGGTGCATCCAGCCGTGCTTTCTTGCAACGAATGACTGGTGGAAGATCTGTTTGTTGTGCCTCTTGGAAGCTTGGGCCCAAGAGGTCTTTGCTGGAAGCATCATGATTGCAGCAGGTGGGAGTTGGTGGGCCTTGGTAGGGCCCAATGCCACTGTGAAATTCTGTGAGAACAATGTAACAATATGTCGCACATGTACCTCTCACGTTCTGTAGATCATGCAGGTGCACCAGTGCCATCACGAATATAGTGTTTGATCGCCATCGGATGCCATCGGTGATTCTTCGATTTTCATGTCAGCATCACTTTCCGATGTGATTGCTGATTTGTTCCGATCCGGGCATGGCTGTGTCTGGCTCAAGCACGAAATCTTCCAATCCGTCGCCCTAGCTCCCCGCGTCGCATCATGAGCGCCGAAGCTCCCAAAATCGTCGACCCCGATGCCAAGGCGGCACCCAAGCCAGACACCAAGGAACTGGCCAAACCAGCAAAGGCTTCGAAGCCAAGAATCGACTGCAACTCGGAGAATAATATCAGTGAAGTAAACAATCAGTGAAGATTAGTGAAGACTTGTGAAGGGCAGCCTTCTAAATTTCCTTAGTGGCTTCGGTTGATGTGTCAGTGTATGTTAGTGCGATTCGTGTAGCTCAGTAAAGCCGATACAACAGATTTGGTGATCTGGTAGTTTCTTTCCACATCCGAGGCATTGATGGCTGCCGCTTTGCCCTCGTTTTCCCCATTGTGGTGGCACACTTTGCACGATTCAGCACCAACAATTTGACGGCTTTGAAACTTCTGACCCAGGAGAATGTCTTGGTTGGCGGTTTCTTTGTGATCAGTGGATACGTCTCGGCTTACACCACCACCAAGCTGGGAGCAATTGAAGTATAGTGACGGACAATCACTTAGAACGTAAATTTTTTTCCATTTTTTTTTTCGTACTTAGAACGTAGCTAGAACGTAGCAAAATTTCATCACTTAGAACGTAGGGAAAATTCATCACTTAGAACGTCAAAATATCACTTAGGCCCATTTATCACTTAGAACGTAAACCAACACTTAGAACGTGCTAAGTGATTGTCCGCCACTATAATTATGAACAATTACCATATGATATGTATATATACTTGTATATATATATATAAATATACATTATAAATGTATATAATATAAATACTTCTACAATCCAAAACCTTCGAGAAAATCGATGAGGTACCCACCGTTTCAAATCAACTGTGATGGTTCCCTTTCAAAATATTGCCAAAAATTGGATTTCGAAGCGGATCCTAATAATAAATTTAAACCCTTAATAAAAAAAGACAAGTTTTTTCGATTCAAAATCAATTAAATTTCCTTTTATAACGCAATTAGACTATTGCCAAAAATTAGATTTCGAAGCGGACCCTAATAAATTTAAACCTTTAATAAAACAAAACTATTTTTTTCAATTCAAAATCAATCAAATTTCCTTGTATAACGCAATTGAAATATTGCCACAAATTGGATTTCGATGCGGGCCTAAATAATAAATTTAAACCCTTAATAAGAAAAACAATTTTTTTCGATTTCAATTTAAATATTGCCAAAAATTGGATTCCGAAGCGGACCCTAATAATAAATTTAAAACCTTAATTTTTAAAACTATTGTTTTCACTTTCGAAATCAATTGAATTTCCTTTTAAAAAACGCACTTAAGATATTGCAGAAAATTGGAATTCGCAGTGGAATCGAAATTATGTCTATGTTTCCTACGGAATTCGCTGCTGAATCCAACACTTAGAACGTCAGAACCCCCAAAAAGCACCAAAAGGTATACCGTTCCAGAGATAAAAGATCGCCAATGTTTGCAAATCATATGGGAGGGAAAAGCCAAATGGTACGAAATTATGTCTATGTTTCCTACGGCATTAGCTGCTGAATCCAACACTTAGAACGTCAGAAACCCGCAAAAAACACCAAAAGGATCCAAAAGGTATAGTGTTCCAGAGATAAAAGATCGCCAATGTTTGCAAATCATATGGGAGGGAAAAGCTAAATGGTACGAAATTATGTCTATGTTTCCTACGGAATTAGCTGCTGAATCCAACACTTAGAACATCAGAACCCTCAAAAAAGCACCAAAAGGTATAGTGTTCCAGAGGTAAAGACCGCCAAGATTGGCAAATCATATGGGAGGGAAAAGCCAAATGGTACGAAATTATGTCTATGTTTCCTACGGAAGTAGCTGCTGAATCCAACACTTAGAACGTCAGAACCCCCAAAAAGCACCAAAAGGATCCAAAAGGTATAGTGTTCCAGAGATAAAAGATCGCCAATGTTTGCAAATCATTTGTGAGGGAAAAGCCAAATGGTACGAAATTATGTCTATGTTTCCTACGGAACTAGCTGCTGAATCCAACACTTAGAACGTCAGAACCCCCAAAAAGCACCAAAAGGCAAAAGGTATAGTGTTCCAGAGATAAAAGATCGCCAATGTTTGCAAATCATATGGGAGGGAAAAGCCAAATGGTACGAAATTATGTCTATGTTTCCTACGGCATTAGCTGCCGAATCCAACACTTAGAACGTCAGAACCCCCAAAAAGCACCAAAAGGCATAGTGTCCCAGAGATAAAGAACGCCAATATTTGCAAAACATATGGAAGGGAAAAGCCAAATGCTACGAAATTATGTCGATCTATGTTTCCTACGGAATTAGCTTCTGAATCCAACACTTAGAACGTCAGAACTACCAAAAAGCACCAAAACATATAGCGTTCCAGAGATAAAAGATCGCCAATATTTGCAAATCATATGGAATGGAAAAGCCAAATGGTACGAAATTATGTCTATGTTTCCTACGGAATTAGCTGCTGAATCCAACACTTAGAACGTCAGAACCTCCAAAAAGCACCAAAAGAATCCAAAAGGCATAGTGTTCCAGAGATAAAAGATCGCCAATGTTTGCAAATCATATAGGAGGGAAAAGCTAAATGGTACGAAATTATGTCTATGTTTCCTATACGGAATTAGCTGCTGAATCCAACACTTAGAACGTCAGAACCCCCAAAAAGCACCAAAAAGTATAGTGTTCCAGAAGTAAAGACCGCCAAGTTTGGCAAATCATATGGGAGGGAAAAGCCAAATGGTACGAAATTATGTCTATGTTTCCTACAGCTTAGAACGTCAGAATCCCCAAAAAGCACCAAAAGGTATAGTGTTCCAGAGATAAAAGATCGCCAAGATTTGCAAACCATATGGGAGGGAAAAGCCAAATGGTACGAAATTATGTCTATGTTTCCTACGGAATTAGCTGCTGAATCCAACACTTAGAACGTCAGAACCCCCAAAAAGCACCAAAAGGTATAGTGTTCCAGAAATAAAAGATCGCCAATGTTTGCAAATCATTTGTGAGGGAAAAGCCAAATGGTACGAAATTATGCCTATGTTTCCTACGGAATTAGCTGCTGAATCCAACACTTAGAACGTCAGAACCCCCAAAAAGCACCAAAAGGTATAGTGTTCCAGAGATAAAAGACCGCCAAGATTTGCAAATCATATGGGAGGGAAAAGCCAAATGGTACGAAATTATGTCTATGTTTCCTATACGGAATTCGCTGCTGAATCCAACACTTAGAACGTCAGAACCCCCAAAAAGGATCCAAAAGGTATAGTGTTCCAGAGATAAAAGATCGCCATTGTTTGCAAATCATATGGGAGGGAAAAGCTAAATGGTACGAAATTATGCCTATGTTTCCTACGGAATTAGCTGCTGAATCCAACACTTAGAACGTCAGAACCCTCAAAAAAGCACCAAAAGGTATAGTGTTCCAGAGGTAAAGACCGCCAAGATTGGCAAATCATATGAGAGGGAAAAGCCAAATGGTACGAAATTATGTCTATGTTTCCTACGGAAGTAGCTGCTGAATCCAACACTTCGAACATCAGAACTCAGAACCCCCAAAAAGCACCAAAAGGATCCAAAAGGTATAGTGTTCCAGAGATAAAAGATCGCCAATGTTTGCAAATCATATTGGAGGGAAAAGCTAAATGGTACGAAATTATGTCTATGTTTCCTACGGAATTAGCTTCTGAATCCAACACTTAGAACGTCAGAACCCCCAAAAAGCACCAAAAAGTATAGTGTTCCAGAAGTAAAGACCGCCAAGATTTGCAAATCATATGGGAGGGAAAAGCCAAATGGCACGAAATTATGTCTATGTTTCCTATACGGAATTAGCTGCTGAATCCAACACTTAGAACGTCAGAACCCCCAAAAAGCACCAAAAGGTATAGTGTTCCAGAAATAAAAGATCGCCAATGTTTGCAAATCATTTGTGAGGGAAAAGCCAAATGGTACGAAATTATGTCTATGTTTCCTACGGAATTAGCTGCTGAATCCAACACTTAGAACGTCAGAACCCCAAAAAGCACCAAAAGGATCCAAAAGGTATAGTGTTTCAGAGATAAAAGATCGCCAATATTTGCAAATCATATGGGAGGGAAAAGCTAAATGGTACGAAATTATGTCTATGTTTCCTACGGAATTAGCTTCTGAATCCAACACTTAGAACGTCAGAATCCCCAAAAAGCACCAAAAGGTATAGTGTTCCAGAGGTAAAGACCGCCAAGATTGGCAAATCATATGGGAGGGAAAAGCCAAATGGTACGAATTTCCTACGGAATTAGCTGCTGAATCCAACACTTAGAACGTCAGAACCCCCAAAAAGCACCAAAAGGTATAGTGTTCCAGAGGTAAAGACCGCCAAGATTGGCAAATCATATGGGAGGGAAAAGCCAAATGGTACGAAATTATGTCTATGTTTACTGGAAAATTAGCTGCTGAATCCAACACTTAGAACGTCAGAGCCCCCAAAAAGCACCAAAAGGATCCAAAAGGTATAGTGTTCCAGAGATAAAGACCGCCAAGATTGGCAAATCATATGGGAGGGAAAAGCCAAATGGTACGAAATTATGTCTATGTTTCCTATACGGAATTAGCTGCTGAATCCCACACTTAGAACGTCAGAACCCTCAAAAAAGCACCAAAAGGTATAGTGTTCCAGAGGTAAAGACCGCCAAGATTGGCAAATCATATGGGAGGGAAAAGCCAAATGGTACGAAATTATGTCTATGTTTCCTACGGAAGTAGCTGCTGAATCCAACACTTAGAACGTCAGAACCCCCAAAAAGCACCAAAAGGATCCAAAAGGTATAGTGTTCCAGAGATAAAAGATCACCAATATTTGCAAATCATATGGGAGGGAAAAGCCAAATGGTACGAAATTATGTCTATGTTTCCTACGGAATTAGCTGCTGAATCCAACACTTAGAACGTCAGAACCCCCAAAAAGCACCAAAAGGATCCAAAAGGTATAGTGTTCCGAATGTTTGCAAATCATATGGGAGGGAAAAGCTAAATGGTACGAAATTATGTCTATGTTTCCTATACGGAATTAGCTGCTGAATCCAACACTTAGAACGTCAGAACCCCCAAAAAGCACCAAAAAGTATAGTGTTCCAGAGTAAAGACCGCCAAGATTGGCAAATCATATGGGAGGGAAAAGCCAAATGGTACGAAATTATGTCTATGTTTCCTACAGCTTAGAACGTCAGAATCCCCAAAAAGCACCAAAAGGTATAGTGTTCCAGAGATAAAAGATCGCCAAGATTTGCAAACCATATGGGAGGGAAAAGCCAAATGGTACGAAATTATGTCTATGTTTCCTACGGAATTAGCTGCTGAATCCAACACTTAGAACGTCAGAACCCCCAAAAAGCACCAAAAGGTATAGTGTTCCAGAAATAAAAGATCGCCAATATTTGCAAATCATTTGTGAGGGAAAAGCCAAATGGTACGAAATTATGCCTATGTTTCCTACGGAATTAGCTGCTGAATCCAACACTTAGAACGTCAGAACCCCCAAAAAGCACCAAAAGGTATAGTGTTCCAGAGATAAAAGACCGCCAAGATTTGCAAATCATATGGGAGGGAAAAGCTAAATGGTACGAAATTATGTCTATGTTTCCTATACGGAATTCGCTGCTGAATCCAACACTTAGAACGTCAGAACCCCCAAAAAGGATCCAAAAGGTATAGTGTTCCAGAGATAAAAGATCGCCAATGTTTGCAAATCATATGGGAGGGAAAAGCTAAATGGTACGAAATTATGTCTATGTTTCCTACGGAATTAGCTGCTGAATCCAACACTTAGAACGTCAGAACCCTCAAAAAAGCACCAAAAGGTATAGTGTTCCAGAGGTAAAGACCGCCAAGATTGGCAAATCATATGGGAGGGAAAAGCCAAATGGTACGAAATTATGTCTATGTTTCCTACGGAAGTAGCTGCTGAATCCAACACTTCGAACATCAGAACTCAGAACCCCCAAAAAGCACCAAAGATCCAAAAGGTATAGTGTTCCAGAGATAAAAGATCGCCAATGTTTGCAAATCATATTGGAGGGAAAAGCCAAATGGTACGAAATTATGTCTATGTTTCCTACGGAATTAGCTTCTGAATCCAACACTTAGAACGTCAGAACCCCCAAAAAGCACCAAAAAGTATAGTGTTCCAGAAGTAAAGACCGCCAAGATTTGCAAATCATATGGAGGGAAAAGCCAAATGGCACGAAATTATGTCTATGTTTCCTATACGGAATTAGCTGCTGAATCCAACACTTAGAACGTCAGAACCCCCAAAAAGCACCAAAAGGTATAGTGTTCCAGAAATAAAAGATCGCCAATGTTTGCAAATCATTTGTGAGGGAAAAGCCAAATGGTACGAAATTATGCCTATGTTTCCTATACAGAATTAGCTGCTGAATCCAACACTTAGAACGTCAGAACCCGCAAAAAAAGCACCCAAAAGTATAGTGTTCCAGAAGTAAAGACAGCCAAGATTGGCAAATCATATGGGAGGGAAAAGCCAAATGGTACGAAATTATGTCTATGTTTCCTATACAGAATTAGCTGCTGAATCCAACACTTAGAACGTCAGAACCCCCAAAAAGCACCAAAAGGATCCAAAAGGTATAGTGTTCCAGAGATAAAAGATCGCCAATGTTTGCAAATCATATAGGAGGGAAAAGCTAAATGGTACGAAATTATGTCTATGTTTCCTACGGAATTAGCTTCTGAATCCAACACTTAGAACGTCAGAACCCCCAAAAAGCACCAAAAGGTATAGTGTTCCAGAGGTAAAGACCGCCAAGATTGGCAAATCATATGGGAGGGAAAAGCCAAATGGTACGAATTTCCTACGGAATTAGCTGCTGAATCCAACACTTAGAACGTCAGAACCCCCAAAAAGCACCAAAAGGTATAGTGTTCCAGAGGTAAAGACCGCCAAGATTGGCAAATCATATGGGAGGGAAAAGCCAAATGGTACGAAATTATGTCTATGTTTCCTACGGAATTAGCTGCTGAATCCAACACTTAGAACGTCAGAACCCCCAAAAAGCACCAAAAGGATCCAAAAGGTATAGTGTTCCAGAGATAAAAGATCGCCAATATTTGCAAATTATATGGGAGGGAAAAGCTAAATGGTAAGAAATTATGTCTATGTTTCCTACGGAATTAGCTGCTGAATGCAACACTTAGAACGTCAGAACCCTCAAAAAGCACCAAAGGGTATACTGCTCCAGAGATAAAAGACCGCCAAGATTTGCAAATCATTTGTGAGGGAAAAGCCAAATGGTACGAAATTATGCCTATGTCTCCTATACGGAATTAGCTGCTGAATCCAACACTTCGAGCATCAGAACTCAGAACCACCAAAAAGCACCAAAGGGTATACCGTTCCAGAGATAAAAGATCGCCAATTTTTGCAAATCATATGGGAGGGAAAAACCAAATGGTACGAAATTATGTCTATGTTTCCTACGGAATTAGCTGCTGAATCCAACACTTAGAGATAAAAGATTCCACAAGCCTTTCCACTATCATCAGTGACCTAGACACGTTCTAAGTGTTAAATCCCCGGTACGTTCTAAGTGATGAATCTTGATATTTGGACGTTCTAAGTGTATGGTTTTCGACGTTTTAAGTGCAAGGCTTAGAACGTAAAAAAAACAGTAATATTCAGAATTTTTTTTCCAAAATACGTTCTAAGTGATTGTCCGTCACTATAGAAGAGAAGAAAGTGGCAAATCCAGAGCTCTTCTTTTGGCAAAGGGTCACTTGGTCATCCTTTCAGAAAGCATGTTCAGAGATGTTCAGACCTTGCTGATGTCAGCGTTTAATGGCCTTATATAAAGATGCCGATCTGCCCGTTTGATTTCCCATGGCCAAATATCCAAAGGGTGCCACCCTTTCCCACCTTGATCCCAAATTAATCTTTGACATTCTTTAAGTCTCTCTCTCCCTGAGGTGATGGCGTACTATCCACTCCACTTCGCCAGTTCAGCCCTTTTTGCTCCCATGTTCATTTGGGTGGAGAGGAATTTCAATGCCACGTGGAAGATGATTGCGTTCCGTGCATTTTTGAATTTCAGCATGCTGCAGGCATGGTTCCCCAAAGAGGCTGAGATCTGGAATCAGCCCACCTGGTTCTTGTCAGCCTTGACCTTCTCGAACTTGACCATGCCAACGTTCGTGCTGCCACAAGTGGCTCAGCTGACCAAGGGAGGTCTCCAGAAGCTCTTCATGGCTTTGACTGGAATCTCTTTGTTGCAGAAAGTCTCCTATTCTGAGACTGCTCGTTTCCACAGCAGCAAGGAACATCCTGTGGATGGCAAGGTGATGCATCCTTTGATTTGGAACTTGACCCGTTTCCACCCATTCTGGGCGCTGATGGAGATGACGATGGGCATTGTGGCTGCTCGACATGTGATGTTGGACACTGAGGAAGATAAGAAGAAACCCAAGATGAACCCAATTTGGCTTTTCCTGGCGGCCTACGCTTCGCTGGGTTTGCGCCTTACTCAGTTCGACTTCAACGACGCCATCGTGCGTGGAGTGCTCTTTGTGCCGATCTTCACCAAGTTCTTGACGGCCATGCACCGAGATGCACTGTCTTCCGAGCCATCTGCCATCACGAGGTTCTTCGGATGCAAGACGATGGCCACCCTTGGTTCCATCGCCTTCCCAATGTTCATTGTCCATGGACCTTTGGGCCAAATCTTTTACAAGAAGGCCATTGCCAAGAAGCTTTGGGGAAAGCCAATGCCACATGCTTTCTTCCCATTCTACCTGGCCATTTGCTTGGGCATCAGCCATTTGGTGAATGAGCACTTCGTGAAGAACAAGAAGGTGGGTGCATTTGCCGGCAAGGTGGCTCAAAAATTGGCTGGCTGGACTGAAGGCATGTTGCGTGACAAGTGAGGCCAAATATGGCCTTAGATGGCCTAAAGCTATGGCATAGCTATGGCATAGCTATGGCATTAGATGCCAAAATAGAGACAAAGTGCGAAACCAATAGGCAGCTGCCAGAGGATCAAGAGGAACAACCGGCCGATGGCCAAGTGTTGAGGCTCAGACCCTCACCAGGATGCGGATGAAGTTGCACACGACAATCCGCAGCTTGGGTTTCGGATGTTTCGGTGAGCAGCTGCATCTGCAGCTGACCACACGATGGTTCCGGATCAAAAAAGAGATGCCGCGTCGGCTGAAGCTATTGACGCCTCCATTGCCAAATCCACCCAAATCCTGCCGCAAACAGAAACTCTGTGACAAAATCAAGTCGATTCTACAGGTGCATCACGAATATAGTGTTTGATCGCCATCGGATGCCATCGGTGATTCTTCGATTTTCATGTCAGCATCACTTTCCGATGTGATTGCTGATTTGTTCCGATCCGGGCATGGCTGTGTCTGTCTCAAGCACGAAATCTTCCAATCCGTCGCCCTAGCTCCCCGCGTCGCATCATGAGCGCCGAAGCTCCCAAAATCGTCGACCCCGATGCCAAGGCGGCACCCAAGCCAGACACCAAGGAACTGGCCAAACCAGCAAAGGCTTCGAAGCCAAGAATCGACTGCAACTCGGAGAATAATATCAGTGAAGTAAACAATCAGTGAAGATTAGTGAAGACTTGTGAAGGGCAGCCTTCTAAATTTCCTTAGTGGCTTCGGTTGATGTGTCAGTGTATGTTAGTGTGATTCGTGTAGCTCAGTAAAGCCGATACAACAGATTTGGTGATCTGGTAGTTTCTTTCCACATCCGAGGCATTGATGGCTGCCGCTTTGCCCTCGTTTTCCCCATTGTGGTGGCACACTTTGCACGATTCAGCACCAACAATTTGACGGCTTTGAAACTTCTGACCCAGGAGAATGTCTTGGTTGGCGGTTTCTTTGTGATCAGTGGATACGTCTCGGCTTACACCACCACCAAGCTGGGAGCAATTGGAGTAGAAGAGAAGAAAGTGGCAAATCCAGAGCTCTTCTTTTGGCAAAGGGTCACTTGGTCATCCTTTCAGAAAGCATGTTCAGAGATGTTCAGACCTTGCTGATGTCAGCGTTTAATGGCCTTATATAAAGATGCCGATCTGCCCGTTTGATTTCCCATGGCCAAATATCCAAAGGGTGCCACCCTTTCCCACCTTGATCCCAAATTAATCTTTGACATTCTTTAAGTCTCTCTCTCCCTGAGGTGATGGCGTACTATCCACTCCACTTCGCCAGTTCAGCCCTTTTTGCTCCCATGTTCATTTGGGTGGAGAGGAATTTCAATGCCACGTGGAAGATGATTGCGTTCCGTGCATTTTTGAATTTCAGCATGCTGCAGGCATGGTTCCCCAAAGAGGCTGAGATCTGGAATCAGCCCACCTGGTTCTTGTCAGCCTTGACCTTCTCGAACTTGACCATGCCAACGTTCGTGCTGCCACAAGTGGCTCAGCTGACCAAGGGAGGTCTCCAGAAGCTCTTCATGGCTTTGACTGGAATCTCTTTGTTGCAGAAAGTCTCCTATTCTGAGACTGCTCGTTTCCACAGCAGCAAGGAACATCCTGTGGATGGCAAGGTGATGCATCCTTTGATTTGGAACTTGACCCGTTTCCACCCATTCTGGGCGCTGATGGAGATGACGATGGGCATTGTGGCTGCTCGACATGTGATGTTGGACACTGAGGAAGATAAGAAGAAACCCAAGATGAACCCAATTTGGCTTTTCCTGGCGGCCTACGCTTCGCTGGGTTTGCGCCTTACTCAGTTCGACTTCAACGACGCCATCGTGCGTGGAGTGCTCTTTGTGCCGATCTTCACCAAGTTCTTGACGGCCATGCACCGAGATGCACTGTCTTCCGAGCCATCTGCCATCACGAGGTTCTTCGGATGCAAGACGATGGCCACCCTTGGTTCCATCGCCTTCCCAATGTTCATTGTCCATGGACCTTTGGGCCAAATCTTTTACAAGAAGGCCATTGCCAAGAAGCTTTGGGGAAAGCCAATGCCACATGCTTTCTTCCCATTCTACCTGGCCATTTGCTTGGGCATCAGCCATTTGGTGAATGAGCACTTCGTGAAGAACAAGAAGGTGGGTGCATTTGCCGGCAAGGTGGCTCAAAAATTGGCTGGCTGGACTGAAGGCATGTTGCGTGACAAGTGAGGCCAAATATGGCCTTAGATGGCCTAAAGCTATGGCATAGCTATGGCATAGCTATGGCATTAGATGCCAAAATAGAGACAAAGTGCGAAACCAATAGGCAGCTGCCAGAGGATCAAGAGGAACAACCGGCCGATGGCCAAGTGTTGAGGCTCAGACCCTCACCAGGATGCGGATGAAGTTGCACACGACAATCCGCAGCTTGGGTTTCGGATGTTTCGGTGAGCAGCTGCATCTGCAGCTGACCACACGATGGTTCCGGATCAAAAAAGAGATGCCGCGTCGGCTGAAGCTATTGACGCCTCCATTGCCAAATCCACCCAAATCCTGCCGCAAACAGAAACTCTGTGACAAAATCAAGTCGATTCTACAGGTGCATCACGAATATAGTGTTTGATCGCCATCGGATGCCATCGGTGATTCTTCGATTTTCATGTCAGCATCACTTTCCGATGTGATTGCTGATTTGTTCCGATCCGGGCATGGCTGTGTCTGTCTCAAGCACGAAATCTTCCAATCCGTCGCCCTAGCTCCCCGCGTCGCATCATGAGCGCCGAAGCTCCCAAAATCGTCGACCCCGATGCCAAGGCGGCACCCAAGCCAGACACCAAGGAACTGGCCAAACCAGCAAAGGCTTCGAAGCCAAGAATCGACTGCAACTCGGAGAATAATATCAGTGAAGTAAACAATCAGTGAAGATTAGTGAAGACTTGTGAAGGGCAGCCTTCTAAATTTCCTTAGTGGCTTCGGTTGATGTGTCAGTGTATGTTAGTGTGATTCGTGTAGCTCAGTAAAGCCGATACAACAGATTTGGTGATCTGGTAGTTTCTTTCCACATCCGAGGCATTGATGGCTGCCGCTTTGCCCTCGTTTTCCCCATTGTGGTGGCACACTTTGCACGATTCAGCACCAACAATTTGACGGCTTTGAAACTTCTGACCCAGGAGAATGTCTTGGTTGGCGGTTTCTTTGTGATCAGTGGATACGTCTCGGCTTACACCACCACCAAGCTGGGAGCAATTGGAGTAGAAGAGAAGAAAGTGGCAAATCCAGAGCTCTTCTTTTGGCAAAGGGTCACTTGGTCATCCTTTCAGAAAGCATGTTCAGAGATGTTCAGACCTTGCTGATGTCAGCGTTTAATGGCCTTATATAAAGATGCCGATCTGCCCGTTTGATTTCCCATGGCCAAATATCCAAAGGGTGCCACCCTTTCCCACCTTGATCCCAAATTAATCTTTGACATTCTTTAAGTCTCTCTCTCCCTGAGGTGATGGCGTACTATCCACTCCACTTCGCCAGTTCAGCCCTTTTTGCTCCCATGTTCATTTGGGTGGAGAGGAATTTCAATGCCACGTGGAAGATGATTGCGTTCCGTGCATTTTTGAATTTCAGCATGCTGCAGGCATGGTTCCCCAAAGAGGCTGAGATCTGGAATCAGCCCACCTAGTTCTTGTCAGCCTTGACCTTCTCGAACTTGACCATGCCAACGTTCGTGCTGCCACAAGTGGCTCAGCTGACCAAGGGAGGTCTCCAGAAGCTCTTGATGGCTTTGACTGGAATCTCTTTGTTGCAGAAAGTCTCCTATTCTGAGACTGCTCGTTTCCACAGCAGCAAGGAACATCCTGTGGATGGCAAGGTGATGCATCCTTTGATTTGGAACTTGACCCGTTTCCACCCATTCTGGGCGCTGATGGAGATGACGATGGGCATTGTGGCTGCTCGACATGTGATGTTGGACACTGAGGAAGATAAGAAGAAACCCAAGATGAACCCAATTTGGCTTTTCCTGGCGGCCTACGCTTCGCTGGGTTTGCGCCTTACTCAGTTCGACTTCAACGACGCCATCGTGCGTGGAGTGCTCTTTGTGCCGATCTTCACCAAGTTCTTGACGGCCATGCACCGAGATGCACTGTCTTCCGAGCCATCTGCCACCACGAGGTTCTTCGGATGCAAGACGATGGCCACCCTTGGTTCCATCGCCTTCCCAATGTTCATTGTCCATGGACCTTTGGGCCAAATCTTTTACAAGAAGGCCATTGCCAAGAAGCTTTGGGGAAAGCCAATGCCACATGCTTTCTTCCCATTCTACCTGGCCATTTGCTTGGGCATCAGCCATTTGGTGAATGAGCACTTCGTGAAGAACAAGAAGGTGGGTGCATTTGCCGGCAAGGTGGCTCAAAAATTGGCTGGCTGGACTGAAGGCATGTTGCGTGACAAGTGAGGCCAAATATGGCCTTAGATGGCCTAAAGCTATGGCATAGCTATGGCATAGCTATGGCATTAGATGCCAAAATAGAGAAAAAGTGCGAAACCAATAGGCAGCTGCCAGAGGATCAAGAGGAACAACCGGCCGATGGCCAAGTGTTGAGGCTCAGACCCTCACCAGGATGCGGATGAAGTTGCACACGACAATCCGCAGCTTGGGTTTCGGATGTTTCGGTGAGCAGCTGCATCTGCAGCTGACCACACGATGGTTCCGGATCAAAAAAGAGATGCCGCGTCGGCTGAAGCGGCATGATGGAGCATGTTTTGAAATCTGTTGGAAGTAGCGACGTTTTTGCTCACTGCAGTGCCAAGCTTTGTTAGGCTTTGTCATGTGCAAACCTTGCGCAAAATGACTATGAACTGCTGGGATCGTCTTGCAGGCACCATCTTGCATGCGGTTTGCCATACGCTCTCCGAGTTGATCTCCGTGCGCGGATTCAGGAGGGATGGGGACTTGCGCACATCACATGTGTTTTATGTTTTATAGACTAAAGCATCTAAAGCCAGACCAAGCATTGAAGATCTAAACCCCAGAACAAAGATGAAGAAATTACAAAGGAACATAAAGGAACGCCATATCTTATCATATCTTACTATAGTTAAGTCGGGACAAGGAAAGGGTTCGTGTATCTGTTTGTGTCACCTGTTGCAGCCAAAGTTGGGTGGGGCATGTGTTTGTACTCAGGATCCCTGCGTATCTCAATTCGAGTCTGCAAGGGCTTACTGGCTGTACCATCGTAGGCAGGGCAAGGGGGCCAGGAAGCTTTTCTAGGATTTTCTAGGCCCTTTTTCGTTTGTGAATTTTGTGAGTTGAAATGACCATCAAAGACCTGGAAGGATCTGGAAAGATGGTTGGTTGATGTTGGTTGTTTGAATTTGTTTATTGCTGTCGTTCGGGGTCCGGTGAAATGCCGAGCCACTGGTATTTTCGCTGGGTGCAAGGCACATGGCAACTAACCTTCACAGCGTCCCACTGGCAGCGCATTGCCGGACCGGTGGAGGAGGTGGGTCCAGTGTCGAACAGTCGAACCGTTGCGGATTTCTGAATGGGAACTAGTTATAGCATAGTTATAGCATAGCTATAGCCTATAGACCTCTATAGATGTCTATAGTTTAAACGTAAACATGCTTCAACCATTCAGATCAACCAAGCGCAAAGTCTCAAGTCCGTTTTTTTTTGTTTTGCGGAGTCCGCCGCTTTGTGGAATACACCACGTGCCCAAATGCATCGAGGTCAGCCCAGGCCAGCAAAAGGCTTTCCAGGAAACATTGGGGTCATGTAGTTTTTTTTGGGGGGCTCATGGGGTAACGGAACTTGAACAGAATTACTAGCATCAGTCATTTTATTTCAACATGTATCCACACCAATCCATACATACTAGGTCTTAATATTGAAGAGAGAGAATCCATATTGAACCATGAAAGATATATTTTATTGATTTTTATTGGGCGAACACGTTTATATACGCAATAGTACAGTTCCAGCGCTGAGAGATGTCTGGAGGCTGGAAGCAGCTGGCCATTTTGCATATCATTGCTGGCAGCACTAGCTTTGAGCAACTTCGTCCATGCCGCTGAACCTGGTATTGGATGATAAGGCATGGCAACAGACCAGAAATTGGAGGCAGCTTGAGGCCTGCATTGGCACATGCGATATAGACATGTATAGACTGTAGACAACAACAGGCGTTATAGCACACACACACATGTATACGGTAAGTATGCACAACAAATTCACAACATCATACAACATCAATACACATCAAAACACATCAATGCCTAACCGAAGAAATTTGCTTATGATCCAGCTTGGTGTTTGATGGTTTTGTGTTTTCGACGTTTGATGTTTCAGGGATTTTGAATATTTTCACGGTTTATTTGCAAGAGCGACCATTGATGACCATCGATGACTATCGATGAACATGAATGACCCGAGGCTGGCTCTTTTTTCCACTTGCTCATGAAGGCAGCGTGTGACTGACTGTGTGACTGACTGTGTGACTGACTGTCCCGATCGCAATTGACTTCGTCGACTCATGTCGAAAAAAGTCGACTCCGCTCAGGTGGGTGTGGTCTCCACGGGAGTTGCCAAAGCTCTCCAGGGCGTTCTGGTCTTTGTGCTGTCCCATCCCTTGTACTGCAAGTGCGCATCAGGGAGTTGTTGGAGTTGTTCGATGCATTTTGATGCTATGAACAGATAGTCATGATAGTCATGATAGTCATAGATTTGGTCTAGTCTAGTCCTTTAAAGAAGACTTGTTGATTTTTGTTGTGGACTTCTTGCAGGCTTTCTTTTGCTATGTTTGTGGGCATGCAGTTGTGCGTTGCATTGTGATGAGTCGAGCCGCGATGTGGGGGTTCTATTCCATGCGGTATGAAATGGCGCGAAGAAGCCTCGGCAGGCAGGATGAATCTCAATGTTTTTCGCCTGTGAAGGGTGTGCAGGAAGCTGAGATGCTGAGATCTCAAAGAATAACTTGCTTTTGATAAGGAGACGGAGATGCTTCCTAACTTGCATGTCCCAAGTGACGTCCCTACACTCTTAGTGACTCTCTCATCATATTTCTGCATTCTTGTCTCAGCATGTCTCAGCATGTCTCAGCATGTCTCAGCCATTAAGGTCTCTATTAATTGTCATCTCCGGTGTTTTGGCTTATATCTCTGCAACTTCCCAGCGGGAGCGGGCTTGATGGAGGCACTGCCGGGACGCCCATGGCATGTGATACACAAACTGTGGAGAGGCGCCTACTGAAACACATTGAAACATGTTGAAACATATTGAAACACACTCGGAATGAGTCACTGCCACTGCACCACGACTTCAGCCTTCCGCTGAAGCTGATACGATGTTTTTGAGCGTCAAACGCTCTGCTATTCCTTAGTTGCCATTAGTTGCCCAGAAGGCCCCTGGCATTTGAGCCTTTGGACCACTGGGATTCAGTGCCGAACGAATGCAGAAGGTGCATTTGCTAAGCATTTCATGCAGATTCACTGCTTAATTAATTAATTAATTCTATAATATTATATATATATAGATAAGTTTTTGTTTTTGTGTCTGGGGGGGTGGCGGCGGCACATGACAGTAAGTTGCGCCCAAGGGTGCATCAGCAGCTGCATGATGTCAGCTAACATCAACATGATGCCATGTGGTCAAGTTTTTCAGTGTAGAAGCATCAAATTGCGCCACCTCTTTGGGAGAAATAACAACATAATGGGTGGCGTTTTGACTGTAGGTGCCAAGTTGTTTCATCAGGGAAATGATATACTGGGCGAAATGTTGCACGCCAATGATTTGTGACCACAACAAGAGTCATGAGACGCGCACTCAACTCAGATCAAGATCTTGGAAAGAGAAAACTTCAAGGCCCAACAGCCCAACATCCAGAAAACCCTGAGCCAAGCACAGCCAACGCATGCCAACGCCAAACAATGTAGAATGCAAAGATGTCAGCATTCCAGGCTCCGACATTTCAAGTACGGGAAAGCCATAGTCAAACAAAGAGAAGCAGCAGCACCGACATGGAGAGAGAGAGAGAGAGAGAGCATTTGTCCGTGAGATGTTTGGCCAGATGGCAAAGGATGGCAAAGGGCTTTGATTCTTGAAAGGTATTAAAGTCAGTTCAGAGATACTAAAACAATCTATGAACAATCTATAAACATACTAAAACCGATTAACACAATCGAACATATCAAAAACAAATCATGGAGGGACCATCCACGGAAACCTCAACGGAGCTGGACTTCACGGCCTGGTCAATGTGCACCTCACCGCATGGCTGCGAGCCCTCTGAGTGCCTCGGTTACAATGTTACAATCCGCATATCCGATACCTCACGTCGCCTCACGTCGCCTCACGTCGCCTAAATACATCAAATACCGATGCCCGGTACCAGATTCAAATCATGCGGAATTCTAAAGATTAGCTTGCAGGTCCATTTGACTTATGCATTCACATGTAAAGAGCAACTGAAACGATGATCGCTTTCTGTTGCTCAGAGGAATCGAAAGGTCGTCCATTCCGATGAATTCACGCGTTTTGCCTGGTGCCTTCTAGCTTTATGTTGTGGCGTCTACATCCGTTCAAGGCTATGGTGATGGAAGCACCTACTGGGACAAGCGCTATTTGACAAAGGCCAGTCCGGATGCACCTTGACAGCACGACGGCCAGAATACACAAGACCACAAGCCAACCGGACGAGTACCAGATCTGGCACCCCATGCGCAATGGTTTGCCCAGTTTGCCCCTAGTTAGTGCATGTTAGTACTAGATTCACTAGATCTACTAATCTAATTAATCTACTAGTAGGACTTCAACCTCAAGAGGTTTCTGATGGTTTCTGCATAGGGATGCCGCCGAGGAATGGCTCTTGGCCTGGAGCCAAGTGGCTGATGTTTTTGAGAAGTACTGTGACCAGCCGAGGCCCCGTGCGGCTGATGGTAGAGATATATTATTGAAGGCCCATGTAATTTTCCCCAAACTCTTCAATGGACTGGACAGATTAACATGAATTCAAACAATATGGGCTTGGTTTGCGGTGGACTAGTCGGCTAGTGTGATTTTTATCGTGAATCGAATAAACTGAAATCAAGTCTTCATGCAGATCACATCAGATCACATTAAAATACTTTTGGCTGGAGTCTTGGTGAGACAGACTGTGATGCTGTACTTGACATTTCTGACATTACTTGACAAGCACATTTTATACAGCACATTTTATAAGTTTCTGGATGGTTCAGGGATTCAGGACTGCCTCGTGGCAAGGAGACAATGGCAGATTCTCCATGCTGGATGCGGGAACAGTGCTTTGACGGCTGAGACTCGTGGTTAAAAGATGCAAGTTGCAGAAGATGACGATGAAGATGAAGATGAATGGATGGATGCATGATGATGCATGTATATAAAATTATATATATAAATGATTGTAAATGAATTAATGAATGAATCACACACACACACACATCATCGGCTGGAGAGAGAGAGGGACACACCATCGGCTTCCGGGCGAGACTCGTATGTATTTGCTTCTGCGCTGAGGATGTACCGTGCTGGGTATGAGCATATCACCAGTCGCTCGCACGCATATCAGCCACAACCAAATTCGAACGCAACATAACGCAACATAACGCAACATAACGCAACCAAGCTTGGAGGGAGATATGATGAGATATGTTTCATGCTTTTTGGGCCACGCATGGCCAAACCCAAGCAGGAGAAGGGTGTTCCTTGTGACTTGGATGGGGTCATTTTGCTCAGCCGTTTGAGGTATTGACAACTCTGCCACTGTGATTGCGCAGATGCAGGCTCTGAAGAAACCGACACCATACGAAATGACTGCACCATCATCACCATCTTCAGAACATACAAGCCAGTAAGATCCCGTAAGGAGTAAAAACTTCTAAAATCATCATCCTGCCACCAGGTTATGACTTCAGTTTTTTCATGGTGGTTCAAGACGCAACATCCGGCATGATATGCAGTGCTTCTGGTGACAGCCTTCATTTGGCAGGCAGCGTGCCGAGATTCTGCAAGCTTGAAATGGTGTTGCATGGACGCGGGTGAACCTTGGCACAATTTTGCATCCCGCTATCCAGGAGCCCACCATAGCTCACCATGCCCGACATAGAGTGCCCCGTTTGTAGTATGCCAAAGCAGCACCATGTGCGGAGACGGCTCTGAAATGACTGAGGATAATTGGATGTTTACGGGGTATAAACAAGTTTCTTGAAGTAAAACTCTTTTGAATTTCATGCATTTTTATGTGTTTCCATGTGCCTAGCCGTTTGATGAGCTTGATTCAAATTTGATTTGGGGGTCTGAAGACCTGTGCCGGAGACAGTATATATAGTATATAGGAACCCATTGCAGATGTTGCAGTAGCGTGTTACACGTATAATTGTGTGGCTTTAGTTACTCTAAGTTCCGTCCTTCCCAACTGTATGTTTGACTGTTTGACCTTTGGAAGATGGGGCATGTTCAGCTGGAATGTCCTTGTGGCACAGCCACAAGGAAATGGACTTTGATGACGGAAGCTTTGATGTGGTTATTGAAAAAGGCCGGGCACATCCGGGGACATCCGGGGACATCCGGGGACCGAGGTGTGGCAACGGGGTCCTCACGCATCCTAGTAGCGAACAGCATGACGTGCTCCACCAGTTCATGGTGTGTGAAACAAAAGAGCTAATAGCAGCTAAGATATGCAAAGATCAAGAGAACAACGAATCAAGTCGCGAATGTTTATGGACCTCAAGAAGATAACAGACCTTTCTTACGCAACAAAATCATGCATAAAATCTATAGGTCAGCTGTCCATAGCTGTCCAGCTTCTGTGGCGGCCAGGTTTACTGGACTGCCTGGGCTGCATGGACGAGGCAAAACTGGAGGTGGCCAAAGTCTTGAAAGAGGCCCTGCAACATCCTGCGACAACTGATCTGCCCATGGAATACCAGTGGAATTTGGAGTGATCCGCAAAGTCCCGGCAACTAATCTGGCAAGGGGATGCAAGGGGTCCTTAGATGTGATTCCTGTACATGCACTAGTAATCACTAGTATTGCAGTGCTGTACTTTTTATTTATTCTTTGTTTTATCGTCTCTTTTTTTGGATAAGCATTGTCAATTGTCAATTCAATATTTGACTCGTGTGAAGTGAGCGAAGCCCGGCAGTTCCGCAGATGCAATTGGGCCAGGTGCACAGGGTCTTGCGGCTGCAGGGCCTGTTCTTCTGCATCAGCTTCAACCACAACCGCGCGGCCCAGCTGGCCGAGCCCTGGAAGTTCAGTGCCTTGCTGAGCTGAGCTGACGACATGTCCGGCAGGATTCCAGGGGGATTCCAGGGCGATTTGAGGGCCACTTTAGCCGCGTGTACCCCAGGCTTATGCGAGTCGCGACGAATTTCAGCGGCAGGTGGTCAGAACAGTTTGTTACTCGGCTCTTCCTATTCAGAGCCCTATTCATCACTGAATGGAATCTGAGTAGCGGTTGGCCAGAAGTACTATACTACACCGGCAGGACATTTCACCAGCAGCACTCGACTGTAGTGAAACTATAGTGAAACTTAATCAATCTCAATTATATCTTAATTCTCTGTATATGGATGTATATGGTCTATTAGATTTAATCTTGATTCTATTTGCCAATTGAAGGCACTGGCCCTGGGTCGAAAAAGGTCAACTTTGAGGTCCAACGGATCCAACTGCCGTTCCAATTTGCAGAAGGTATGTCTTCCGGAAATCCTCAGCCGATGTCCTCCAGCTTCTCGGTACAGCAGCCCTTGTCGTAGCATGGTGACTGTTGGCCAGGTGGCAAGGCTTAGAGCTTGGCTTGCGATTAGTTTGGTTACCATTGCTCGTTGTTGACGGGACCTAAAAAGAACATCTTTCTTCATGGAGAAGAGAAGCTCCCAGAAAATTGAGAACTGAATTGAGAATTTCGAGGCAAATTGAATAAGAGAAAGCTTAGGGCTTAGGGAGCCTGCAAAAACAGCTGAGAAGGATTGAAATCGATGAACAAGGGATGAACAAGGGATGAACAAGGGATGAACAAGGGATGAACAAGGGGAGTATCGAACATGTTGGAACATGTTGGAACGCTTCAACCGAACACTTCCAACTTCCTCCTTGATTCCTCCCTTTCCCCGGAGCCACCTCGGATCCACCTGAGGTGGCCACAACTGTTTCGAGATCTGAAGCTCCATCTCACCAAGGAGGAGCAATCCAACGCACACTGTATTAATATTAGGCAGATATATGCAATTATATCTAATTGTCTAATTATGTGCTATGTAATCGCTTCAAATCTTCAATCATGAAGCTGCAGGAGTGATAGACACAAATGACAGAGCAGCTCTTCAAACTTAGGACACAGATGACACAGTATCCCGAGCCTGGTGTTCTTTCCATGGTGGATATAAAATAGTATTATACTATATTATACTACAGTATTTAATACTATTTAATACTACGTTATTCCATTATTATTCCATGATATTTACGATTTCCGTGATAGCGGCCAGTACAAGTCTGCGTCCGGTTGCGGCGCCGTTTTGTGAGGACTACCAGCTGGTCGATCAGCCCTGCACACTGACCGAAGGCGAAGCTGAAACGGGCAACGTCGTCGAGGTGCGCGGCGGTGCGCGTCCTGGTCGCCCGGAATGGGATGCCACCATTGCGAAGCAATGCCAAGCAGTACCAATCGCAACACCCGTTTTGTGGAACATGTCCATATGATTCGAAATCCGCTCTAAAATGCCTACTGTATAAGGAACTTTTAAATCCGAAGGACATAAATACTTAAGCGAGGATGTATTTTAGATTTTGTTAGAAGGCCGAGTCTTGTATATATGCAGTGAAATCGCTTTCCTGCAGCTTGGCGCTAGATTTGCGCTAGTGTAGCGCTAGATACTTTTACATAGCCATTCAAGTGAAACATAGTCAGGCCCGATGCTTTCTTTCCCTTTTGCTTTCCCATAGCTGTTGTTCCCGGTCCTGCTTGGGCAACTCCACAGTAGCCTTACTTTTCATAAATCTCTCTGAGCTGCATTGCCGCTTCACCTTCTTTTGGGCTAAACGTAGTTCTGGCGGTAGTTCTGGCAGTAGATCCGCACTAGATAATTGCCCCAAGAATACGACTCACTGTACTTGAAAACGCAAGAGCACTGTCAAGAGCACTGTTTGCTTCGTATGTGATACCTGTTCTACTCCCTGCACTTTGTGATGTACTTGGTGCATACGGTCCTCAAGGTCCTCAACCAGGCCGGCCAAAGCGCGAAGAGAATGTGTGTGCCACAATCCGGAAAGGTAATCTTGCTTTGCATTCTATCTAGCATGTTTGGACCAGCACATGCTGATCCCGCTGTTCCGATTGAGTCACTGTTTAAGATTTCTGCCGGGCAAAACCTGATTCTCGCTAATCTCTCACCAGCGCCAGTCTCACACTGGCAATCCCTGCAATTAGAGTCCTTTGGAGTATTATTGCCTATGTCCTCCGCACCTTGTGTACTTGCCTTGGATAATGCATCTGCGCGTGCTTGCGAAAAATGTGTTGCCACCCTGCTCTCATCCCATGTGCGTGCTGGGCCATGTGCTTCCTGCAAAGCCTTTACGTCTCTACCTGTAGCCTTCCGGTCACGTTTTGCAGCTTCTTGAGATGCCTGCTCTTCTGCCTGATGAGCGGTCTTGCATTCCTACACCAGTATGCCACCTTCATGTGCCAATGCGTCGTGTCCACTCAGGACCCCGTGTCCATGCATGTGTGTATGCCTTCAGCCTTGCGTTCGCTGGACACGTTTTGTCCCATGTTGTGTCCACGCAGCGCCTTGCCAAGTGAAAACTGATGATGCAATGCAGACAAGTCCGCAGACAAAGACGCAGACAGCGTCGAATGTTGTCACGGCGTCATGGTTGCCCCTTGACTGTTGGCTTGACATGGTATAGCGAGGATGGTGTACCTCCTGGGCGGGGAGCTGCGCACGTCACCCGACGCAAAAGAAACCGAATGCGCCACATGGTGGCAGCCGCCTGCTTCGCCGCCCTCCGGGGGCCCAGTCCTCCAGCTGCCGCGTGCCTGCACGAACTAGCTGAGATGGCGCGCGTGCTCGACCTCCACGAGTGGACGGGACGGCCTACAAAACGTAGCCTCGCCACAGCGAAACACAATGCTATATTGAAGGACGCACCAAGCTTTCGGTCGGCGGCTAACGCTAGTTTCGGAAGAGCCAACTGAGTTGCGCTCTCCAGCACGCAGTTGCCTCTACCTTGGTTGGTGGCCTCTGGGTGGCTGCTGCCTCTCGCGGGCGTGCTGGACTTGGCGGATCCTACGCTGCCCAGCCGTCTGCCGCTCCTCGGTCGCTGACCTGATTCACCTGGTTTCATAATACGCCACCCAATCCTGGCCAGGACTCCGCATTGCGCGAGGGAAAAAACCGAATGGATTTGTTGAATGGATTGGAAGAGTTACTTCGTAAATTTGCAGATCAGAAGCCAGCTGTTCCATCTCAGAAAACAGAAAGCCCGACACGCTCTTCAGAAAACGGTTCAAAGAGCTCAGCGAAATTCTCGTACCTGGTTTCAATCACTGACACAGCTGGTCACATTTGCCACTGAAGGGAAGATCTTTGTCGATGAACATGCCAGCGCACCTGCTCCCAAGAAAGCAGGAAGAACACCACCAAATGCAGAGCCCAAGCATCAACCCAAGAAGATTGAAATCTGGGCTGACAAAGTGAAAGCTTCAACTGCTGCCAAGCCCGGAAATGCCACTGTTGCGACCCAAAAGCAACAGCCTGTGTATCGACTGTGGACCTTTCCTGACACCCGTGAGACGGTTGCAGCAGTAAACCATGTGAAAAAGGATCTTGAAAATGGAAAGAAGCCAGCGGGCTGCAAACTATGAACCGGCCAGTGAGCTCAAAACGCTGGTTCAGGCCCATGGATTCACCGACATCAAAACTGCAGTAGTTTTGACATCACGAGAATCCCCAGACACTCTTGACAAGAAATGGGCGCATGTGAATCTTAAAGGTCATGGACCAGAGATCAAGAAGTTTCCAATGTTCCATTTGGGATCTGAACTGCCAGCGTTCCTAACCTGCCAGGCGTCTCCAGCTGCACTGCCAACCACGGCACTCGAGGCCATGACACTGAGAGTCACCATTCGCTTTTGCAGTCATAATTTGCGAAGCTGCAAAGCAAGCCTGCGAACATTGTGTCAGGAAAGTTGCCTGACGATGATCTTCAGAAAAGTTTCATCTCCACCTATGGATGGCGTACCGGCGTACCTTACAGAGCCAGCACTGGACTAGCTACGCCGAAGCTGTCACTGGCTTTCTCAAACTTGGCAAGAACAGTCTTGAAGATGTCTTGAAGATCTCCGCAAAGCACGGGGTCTTCATTGAACGCCTGGCCCAGAACCAACCAGGAGATGCCACTGAATGGATTCCCCAAGAGAAAGATGAAGATGACATGGCCTACTTCACACCTGTGACATCTGAGGCACATGACAATGGCTTCACATATCGTCGCCAAGGAAAGATCGGCAGCAAGGCACACAGCCAGCCACTGCCAGCGGGGCCAAAGTCTGGGAAGCCCGGGCAGTGTCCAACCAATGGTCAACGGGTATGTTGACTTCTTGGCTTGAAAAGCAGAAGTTTGAGGAAGTGACTTTGATGAACCGACGAAGCAGAGAGGGTGGCTGTTCCGGCATCCCACCAGATCTTTTTGTTTCGCTTATGAAAATGCATGAAAATGCAGATGGGGAAAATGTCAGTATCTCTCAGTTTTTCCATCATGCCAAAGGCTCCAAAGCAAACCCCGATCAACGCTGCGTCATACAAATTTCCGGCGCACCTTGAACGGTAGCAAAGGAATCTCTCCACCTCAGAAACCAACTCCTAACGACTAACGACCCTAAAAATATGCCCCCAGCGGCGTAAAATGCCGAAAACGCTGAGCAGCCAGATGCCAATGCTGCTTGCTGCTGATGCCAGTTCAGTACAATTGATTCAAAGCGCTCTGCACCTGCAGGTGGCCTCCAGACGAAAGAGGCCGAATGTTCGCCCTGAACGCCAAGATGCCGTTGAAAATCGAATCTGCTACACACTTTCAGGGAATCGAATTTGCTGATGCCGGCGGAGATGGTGAATGCGGTTACCGTGCTCTAGCAGCTAGCAGTTGCCTACGCAGAGCCCAACCACTTCCCATATCTTCAAGTACGACGACCACTTTAAGCAATTCTTTGCGCCCGACCCGCGCTGGACAGAGGCCCTTAAGGAGGTCCTGTGCCGACCACATATAGTGAATGGGTACTGCTCGGCCAACCAGATGGATTGATGGTCCATGTCTTTCCACAGCTGCGACAAAGCAGAGAGAAACATTGCCATTGTGCGCTGGGAATCCGATGAATGGGTGAAGCAGACAGTGATCACCCCCTTGCCTTCCCAGCAACAGAGTGTTCAAGATGCTACAACGTATCCTCCGTTGTCACTGTTCCTCAAAGTAGGAGGCTATGTAACTTTGAAACCTGGACTCACGCCTTTTCCAACGCCATGGCGTTACAGCCCTCCTAACTCAAAATGGGATGCGGGTAGTGCAAGAGGAGGAGTCGAATCTGTCAAGTCCTGCAAGAGTTGGTTGCCGCCGTCTTCACCTGCAAGCGCTCGATCAATCAAGCGCCGTGAAGCTGACGTAGAATCTAATGTTGATGCCAAATCGTACAGAAGTTGGCTGCCTCCATCGACGGCCGCAAGTCCCAAACGAATCCAAAAGAAAAAGGTTGACCCTGAACCTTATGCTGATGCAAAATCCTGCTGATGCAAAATCCTACAGGAGCTGGCTGCCGCCCAGCTCTGGCCCTGCATCTCGTGCTCGTCTCCTTGCGAACAAGGCATCCTCCAGTAGCAGCAAGAGACCCAAGCTAAGCCAATGCCGAAGCAAAGAGCTAAAAGTGAAAGAAGAAACGGACCAATACGGTGCAAGTGCTTACCAAAAGCGCCCTTTCAGTTGGAAACGTCCGGAATGCGGAGTGTCTTTCAAAGGTACCTACAGCTCAGTTAAGGGAAGCCGCACGTTTTTCGAGAAAACAAAACATTCCGAGCTTCCCATTACTGCAACTCGACGATCAGCTCCAACAGTTCTTGCCGTTGCCTATGGCCTTCCAGTATATAGATCAAACTGCATGGTCACTTTCTTTGTGTTCAGCAAAGTTGCCAACTCTGTCACGCCACGACAGATTTAAAGCCGTGAAGCAACGCATCGAAGAATGCCATGAGGGGGAAACGCCTTCGAGCCTCTGGAATTGTCAGAGAACCCATGTCAAAAAGTAAAGCCACAAGTTGCAGAACACCAATGCCAAGCGCCGCAAAATGCTCCGCGTGAAAGTCATACCTACAGAAAGGAGTAGAAAGAAGAGTGGCAATTTGCATTATTGTTCCAAATGCTTGTCGAAGATTGAGAAAGGTAACAAAAACAACAATTGCGACCTCACATGCCGACAGCATCTTTTGAAACAGCAGATGAAAGAAGATCGCTATTGCGGTATCAAAACTGCCTGGCGGATTCGATTGCAGAAGCAGCAGCCAATGCATGCAGCCAATTTTGCTAAAGCTGTTGGAAATTAGAAAATCCTTGGAACAGATCGCCGCCACTTTTGCCGAAGATTGCCGATGAAGGTCCAAATGGGTTGCATCTCACGGCGCGAACGGGCAAAATAGTTGGCAAGCTGATTTAACGATGCACGGTGATGTCATCCAGGACCAAATCTCCAGATTTGGTCATTCAATTGCGGTCGAGGCACATGTGCATATGAATTCTTCAATTATGCCAGGGTGAAAAACATTCCAATTCTCGCCATCCAAGAGGATGGACTCAAAAAGTGTGAAAGGTTTTTTTTTTTTCATAGGCGGTATGTCAATAAATAAACATCACCACTACATATGTTTGATGGTCCCACTTCGACATAAGAATGCCTAGGGAAGTGTGATCCTCCTGAGTCCATCAAGTTTGGGATGCCGCCTGATTATATATATAATGTTTCCAATGAACGGTAATGGTCGGAAATTTGCCATCAGCAACTTGTATCAGCCAGTCCAGGAAGGTAGACTAAAGACTCCCTGCTGCATGTCACATTTTTGAAACATTCCAGCTTCTCCCACATGGTGCCCCGATTTGTGTTGGTGATAATGGTAGCCCTTAGGAGAATGTTTTGGTTGCTGAAGATGATGCGTTACAACTGCATTCTTTTTTTGTGCAAAACGCGCAGGGTCAAGCTGTCTCATCGAGATGGTCAAGCAAGAGGTGTATTGATTACGCCGTCACAAAAGCAGCGAACTGTGTGCAGCACCTCAAGTATGAAAGTGAAGCCATTTCGGATCACAAAACTTTTTGTTTCACTCTCGAAGATGAGGAGCAGCATGCGTCAGCACCGCTGCATAGACTTGTCAGACATGATGATTTGTCCATGCCAGAAGCATGCACGCTTGATGAATGGAAATATGCTTGCACCGAGTTTTTATCCGCAAATCCACTGCCGAAGCCTCATGAGCACTGCACGCAGCAAGCCATTGATGAGTATTGGAAGCAAATCAGTGATCTTTTTGAAAGCATGCTCCGTGCTGCGCATAATCACTTTTCTAATTCATTTGCCAAACCTAGACTAGAATGAGCCATAAGAAAGGCACTCTTAAATTCTCTAAAGGTTTCCCCCCAAGGTAAAAATTAGATCATGCCACGGACACTTCTCGCATTCGCCACATGCGTAATTGCTCACTAAACTCAAAGAGTTCCAAAAGCTTGAAGTCCACGGACACAGTGACTTTGTGGAATATCAGGGTTTTAAACACAACATTGGTAATAATCCTTTAAATGATGCTCATTCTACATTAGCCGAGAATATTCAACACATCCAATCTTCACCGCAAGGCGAAAGAAATTCCGATCGCCAAGAAAGAATCTCGAAATGGAAAATCAGACTTTGCCAGCAGTGTTACCACTGGTTAAAAAGACCGTCTGTCCAATACTTTCGAGGACTCATTTCCCAATCTCTTAATGTAGATGTTGCCACCGCAGATTTCCTTCAATCCCTTTCCTTGATTAGGGACCATTGGGGACTTGTTTGGCGTAGAGATCCTGTCAATGCCGATGCTGCCCTCAGGCGCATCCTCAGGCGCATGAAAACTTGAACGTCAGAATCTTGCGCCCAGTAACCAGAGCTGGGCTCCTCCTTGATCCGGTCGAGCTTGCCAATCGTGCCCGTGCATTTGCGGGCAAAGCGGCAGTTCTGAAGTCAGCTCCTTGCCACTTGCGGCCCTTCAAGTTTTTGCAACTTTTTGCCAATTTGCGAAGGAACAGGTTTTATTGCCAGTGTTTGGCAAGTTACTCGCCAAACTCATTTACCCAAGGGACAGAAAGGCGTCCGCACTGTGGATGGTGCTCGCGACGTGACGGCACTCAGACCATGAACCCTATATTCAGCACTTGGTGTCGCGTCCGGGGTTGTTCCAGACTCAAATCATGTGCAACATGGGTCAACACATGGGGGCCCAAAGAAGCAATTGGTGGAAAGAAAGCTCGAGAAACCCATGACGTACTTTTTCCTTTGATTGAAGCTGTTCCTCAGGGTCAATTTGTGGTGTCACCCGTTTTTTCCCTCGCATTTGGCTATAGCCACCCTGACATTGTTGTACCGTTTCTCCAGGACCTTGGATTGCTAATCACAATTTGTTCTATGCTGCGCAAGCAGTGGACGCAACAATTGCGGCATTTATCTTTTGAACATTTCGTCCTGCCAAATCCTGAGCATGTGAGCTCTTCGTTGCCACAGGGGGAACCGTGGTCAATGCTGGGGATGGTGGTTTTGCTCACACCTGCCATCTGGGAAATTGCTGACAGACACACGCGTGCAATTCAGAAAACTTTTGTTCAGAAGCTCTCCAAGTTGAAAGAATTTGGGCATCTTGGAGTCGCAATCTGAACCTGCAGGAGAATAATGCCAAACGTCAATATTTTCACCCTCAACATAAGGGACGTCAGGAATTTATTGATTTTGGAATACCTGCCAGTCAGGTCTCACATGACATTCTCATTTTGGGACATGGTTTCAAAGGCTTTGTTTGTACAGCGAAAAATTACCAGCAAAGAAGCTGAACGGATTACTCAATCCGTTGCGATGATCCGCACAATCACATATCTGCCAGTTGCGTATTCCTGAAGAAACGGATTATTGCCGCGGCATCAATGGCAAAAGCTGAGTTTAGTTGGTTGGTCAAAGTTCTTCCTCTTGCCGTGTGTAAGCGTGTTCAAAAATCCATTAAGATTGCAGTCCTGACTTGAGAACTCCCCTGAAAGGACATAGATTGCATATCAACTTTCGTATTGCCACTAGTTGCATTGGTGCCGTGCGCAGGTGTCTTGCAAAGGCACCTGCCACCACTTTGTATTCTCTTCTTTGCTACGGAGATTATCGGAGATTTTCTTGGTCTTATCACACCTCTTGGGTTTGGAAACGTGACCGGACCGGTGATTTTTTTTTTGCCTTGAACAAAGCACAACTCATATGAAGCGTTCACTGCTGGTGATGGCCAGACATCTCATATCTTGTGTGAAAGTTTTGGTGCCCATGAATCTCAGCAAGGCAATGGAAAGAAACTGATCGTAACGATGCAGCTTTCTTCACTGAAAGCAAATTTGCAGCTGAAAGGTGTAAACTTGCGCTAAAACATGCCAAAGATTCCCAACAGAATTTTGCCATCCTCACTGATACCTTCGTCAATGATGCTGCCTTGTCACTTCGTAAAAGAACCCCTGTCAGACCATGTCCCTTCTGTAACAGCGCGCCGGCTAATACTTTGTGCTTACCCGCCACCTGCTTCTAGACCTCATGGCACTTTGCTAAGACGCCTTGGGTGGCCGCGTGTTGGTCACCCACGTGACAACTGAGGTTGTTTCTTGGATGCGGTGCGATCTCGCACCCTTGCCAATAGATATCAGCAACATACCTATCCATAAATGTTCCCGACCTGCTGCGCTGGCAGGTGCTGTTTCTTGACCGTGGGGCCGCTGAGCCCCGCAACAGCACGGTGGAAGTCATGAATGGGTTCCATCGATGGAAGGTATTACCTATATTAGTAGCGCTGTTTGCGTCCAGCTGGTAGCAGCAACTGGGATTTGGGCCACGGGGTCCGCGTTGTTAGACCCGACAAAGGAACCATGGAGGGCGTGATACTTACGGTAACGACATTTATATATGTGGAGGGCGGGCCAGACCGTGAGGCCACGGAGGTAGTATGAAATACCGAAATACCAGTTCGTATATTTAAATGTAACAAATGTAGTTACCGTATGTTTAAATGAATTGGATTCGGTATGTTTAAAATGGCCGTTCGGGCCAAGGAAAACTTTCCCGGAGGTAGTCTAAAATACTTGTTCGTATATTTGAAAGTCCGTATATTTAAATGTCTTTAACGTAGTGCTTCCAGTAGCTCCAGCAGCTCGAGCTAAAAGAGCCGCGCGCTAGCTACGTGTGCACGAGTTTGATGCAAATAAATCATTCACAGCTTTCTTCACTCATGTTTAAGGTCTGTTGGGACAATTGGATAGTTGAACTTTAAAGGCGGGGTCCTGTAAATACGCAGTGAAGGCGATTTTCGTCCGAATCCGGGACAGGGAATTTACAGAAGACCATGGGTTTGTTCAAACTGAACAGATTCTACACATGATTCCACTCTCAAAATCTGAATGGGTAGAACTTCATAAAGATAAGTGATGATCGGTGCCTGTTGGCTCGCTCCAGGTCATTGAAGCTTGTGAATCAGGCACAGCAGCTTTGACGTGCCTTTGTGTTGTCGGAATGCCGCCCCACCCCTTATTGTAACATAGGATGGGAAATTTGTCAACATCTTGGAGTTCTGTTGAATTTGAGCGCTTCCGGGCCAGCTCGTGCCAGGGGATCAGAATCCGGTGGGCCTCCATGTCGGACTTCGCGGCGTGGTCAAGCTCAGCGCCTTGCCACAGCCAGAGTCAGTATTGGGTGGATCGCCAGGTCCCTACTCAGAACATGGAAGTCAAACCGCTATGCAACAGTATGTAACTACAACAATGTGATATGTGAATGAATGTGAGAAAGATATAAATGTAAAAACACACGCGCACACACACACATATATATATATATATATGTGTGTGTGTGTGCATATGTGTTTTTTTTTAAAAAATATATATATATATATATCTCATTATATATATATAAATATATCATATTATATATATATATCATTAATATATATATATATATACACATACACGCAAACCCTATGTCTCGCCGTCGCCCGAAACGGCTAAAAGCCGAGGGTTTCTGTTGATTTTTCCCCACATCTTTGTGTGGGGTTCTTGTTTTTGGTTGTGCACTTCCGCCTGGCCCCGCCTGGCCCCGCCTGGCCCCGCCTGGCCCCGCCTGGCCCCGCCCGCTGCTTATCACACACACAACTTGCTCACACACAACTTGTCACCACACAACTCACTCACACACACACACAACTTGCTCACCACACAACTTGCTCACACACAACTTGCTCACCAAACAACTTGTCACCACACAACTTTCTCACCAACTTGTCACCACACAACTTGTCACCACACAACTTACTCACACACAACTTGCACACACACACACAACTTGTCACCACACAACTTGCACACACACACAACTTGTCACCACACAACTCGCTCACACACACACAACTTGCACACACAACTTGTCACCACACAACTTACTCACACACAACTTGCTCACACACAACTTGTCACCACACAACTTACTCACACACACAACTTGCACACACACACAACTTGTCACCACACAACTTGTCACCACACAACTTGCACACACACGCAGCTTGCACACACACTAGACAAGAATGGATCATTATATGATCCGGCAGGAACTGAATCCTGAAACATGCAAACCAGCCTAGATCGTTAGATTAATAAAGGAGCCACATGAGGTACTTCTCGAAAACGATGTAGGGTATCCAATATTGTCAAACGGAGTTTTAACCAGAGTCCACAAAGTCTTGACCAGCATGTTGAAAATCCAAAATAACAATGTTTCGGCGATTGTTTCCCAAAATGACCCAAAGTTCATCGGCGACATGATCTCGGCGAAAATATATCAAAAAAACATAATATTGTCGGCGACATGGTTTCGGCGAAAATCTGAGGAAGGTTCTGATGCATGCAATACAGATTGTGGCAACCGTGTAGATTCGAAACAACGCAGTGTAACAGCTTAGTCAACAGTTCAGACTGAGTTTTGCAGGTACAAGTGGTTGATCAGACCACTCATCCACCGAAATGCCATAGCTTCGTTGGACTGGATAGGCAAATCGGCTCCAGTCCCCCTGCAAATGTGAAAAGATTCCCTGCAAATGTGAAAAGGTTCGGATCAGAGAAGTTTTACATCTGTTCAGATGTTACACACACACACCCCGCGTGTAGCGGGGTTTGATTTTTGGAAGACCATCGCTGCAAATGTCGGCAAGATTATTCAAATACAAAAAGCTTTCCGGTGCTAATGTACAGAGCCGCGTTCAGTCACTCAGAAGGGAGGTTCGTCTCAGCTTGAAGTGTTTGGATCGCGTCACGGAAGCTCATGTCCTCAAGCATCCTCCACGTGTCGTTGATTTCCCCCGATGCCATAGCAGCCCTCAAAGTGATTGAAAGTTGTTGGGCCAGGTCCTGGATTTTCGGAGTAAAGCGGGTTGCCTCCGTAGGTGCCGTGGTCTCAATGGGAACATTGTGAAAAGGATGATGTCCATGTACTAGAGGAATCTCAAAATGATGTCGCCAATAATCCGCTGTGCGCAGTGACCACTCCCAGTTGCCCGAAAGACCGTAAAAGTAGTGCTCAGGATCACGACATTTGGAAAGCCCTGACAAGGGGATCTCTTCAATGAATAGCTCCCTGGTATTGTTGGAGTGGGTAATAGTAATGATCTTGAATTGGATCTGGTGAACCACGCGGGAAGAGAAGTGAGCACGATGGAGGTAGTGGTATGCAGGACTTTGCTCCGTCGGAAAAGGGACATCAGGAGGTGCGAGGCCTGAATATGTATCAGAATGGGCCGTAGTTCCAATGTCGGTAGTTGTACTGTCAGCTGCCAAAGGTGCCGAAGGGGTCCCGGTAGTAGGATCAGGAAGACCAGAATGACATAGTGCGGAAGCCTGGGCGTCTGGTACTTGATCTGGGTTGGTGGGAGCGAGTCCACGGTTGGGATTCGAAGGCCAAGCCAAGCCCGCCACGGTAGCGTCTCGTTTATGCTCCATGGGTGAAACGATCAGAAATGCGTGAAATGGTGCGACAAAAGCTGAGGCATCATGAAATTGCGAACATAAGCCAAGCCCAAGAATAATAATGATAATGATGATAAAAGTGAAGTCCGGTCATCAATCCAGTGGTTCAAGGTTCACGGAAAGGACATAGCTCAAAGCCTAACAAGATGGAAATCAGAGAATCCTTCGTGTTGAAAAAGTATCATAGGTATAACGAAAAACCCTCGAGCATGGTCTTTTTGGCCAGTGAGCGTATCAGGGCAGGATCACACCGGGGCTAACTTTGTGGCATCGCAGACGTAGCACGAAAGGCTGTGAGGTACCCGGGACGAGCAAAGAGGATTCGAAGTAGTTGTACTGTCGGAGTCGCCATTCGGGTCGGTATTCCTCCAAAAGCTGCAAGATCGTCATATCATTGGGGACTTGGAATGTATCACCTTCCAGGTCGCAATAGCGAAACTCCAAATTCGAAGGGTCAAGCTGGATGTCCCATTGGGTCCTCAATCTTTTTGAAATACAGAAACGTAGTTCTCCAGTGGGAAGGAGGCCGGCTTCCACTGGTTCCATCTGACGTGACCAGGTGAACAGAGCTTCAAGTTCGTAGCCACTAACATTTTTGAGATTTGAACTAGCCAAAGCCATGTAGTGTTCACGGTCAGGTTCGCTGCGATGAGTCAGTTCCTGTAAGGGAGAGTAGTCAATCAAAATAAGGACAGGTCGGTTTGGAGGAGGGTTCACGTGACCAGGAAGGCCTCGGGGTCCAGCAAACCATCCAACGGTTCGGGTACCCAGTGGTGTCTCAACCGTGGATGTAGCGCGATATGGATGGGGCCGAGAAGAATGAGCCATGGCGTCGGGTGTCGAGTTTCGAGTATAAAGCGGAAAGCCCAAGCTGCAACATAGAAGGACAATGACCAAGGAATAAAGCCCAAAAATTGGAAAATGGATGGAAACGGTGTACCTAGTGAGTAGTCACAAATCGACGTGTAGTCACTGTGCTTTTTCGATGCCGACAAATAATGTGGTGTGTTACACACTGGAGTCAGACATATCCATCGGGTCCGTATCGTTCGCATCCAGTGGACCATGTACTTGTTGAGGAGGGACGGTAGGGCGATTGAGATGTAAGGTACGTTGCAATGTTGCCGGTGGTGAAGAAGGTGGTGTAGACCGCCATGGTGGCCAATATAAAGAGGTGGTGGTTCCTTGAGAGTGGTGTTGGGCAGAACGTCCCCAGCATGACTGTAAAATATGGAGTTGGTCCGGTATCGCTTCGTACGGTTGGGAGACATAGACGTTGGAGTGTTCAGGGTGTGGTAGAACAGGAACAGCAGTTGCCGTAGGGGAGGAGGATGATTGAATTGGTACGTCATAGTATCGGCGCCAATGGTTAGCCGTGGTACGTAGGGTAGCAAGATCGTTGGTGAGGTGCATGTTCTCCAGAAATGTTTCCACTGGCTTCCACGTTTCAATACCATCAAGTGTCCTTTCCACGATCCAAAGTTCATCCGGACGAGTAGACAAAGGATAGCTCAGCTTCTTGATGAAGACGGAATGGACGGTTGTAGAGGTTGGGATCATTCGCGCTGCTCGGGGAATATACGATGCCGAAGTAGGATCATCAGGTGGCAGGTGTGGGACTAGGCCATGTACGGATGTAGGTGAGGAACGGTGTGAGACCAATCGAGCAGTATCATCCGTGTTGGAGGTCATCATGTACAGTAGCAATAATATGATATCGAGATACACTGAACTGAAGCCAAAAAGCCGTGGGAAAAGGTCAGTGATGGAAAAACGAACAACGAACATCGCAATATGGAAAGAAGAGAAGCAAGGGAGACAAAAGAAACCCAAAACCGGGGTGGAGGACATCATAACGAGTGCTTTTTTCTTTCCTCATAGACGTGAGCGTCTCCAAGATCTATTTCAAAGGCTAATCACTCGGCCGCTTTAGTGTATCTGGTGGCCGTGATGAATGGATGCCCGCGGGGAATCACTTGAACATGGACAGCGAAGCCTGTGTCCTGTGGATCTGGATGGGGTGTCAGCAACAACGGTGAACACTCCCGGGTCGTGAAGGCATCGAGATGTTGATGAGTTTTCCATGTCGGGTAGAACCAGTTCAAAACGTCCAGGAGAGAATGAGGGAGGTCGTCCAGCATCTGAGCTCCTTGATCGGTGTCAATCATCATGTAGAAATCTGTCGCTGGTAGGTGTATCGACCATCGTTGTAACAGCGTGTCGGTAACCACGGTTTTGAGGTCTGAAACGAAATGACTGCGAGCATAATCCGGGTAGATCACCTTGAACGTCTGGAACAGGCTGTCATAGGTGGCCGTGGAGAGGTTGCCCGCGACCTTGGGGGCCAGGATGTTGTAATATGGGTTGCGAACGGCAAGTTGCTGCATCGGCTTCAGGTCCAGTTGGAAAATAACCGGTCGGTGGGGTGTCGAAGGCGGAGTCCGGTTGGGTGGGTGCTGAGATAATGAAGACCCCATAGTGGAGGACGGTGCCCTTGTTGGAGAGCGTGATCGTCGTGTAGGGGAGATCCTCTCGTGGGACATAGCTCGCAGTTGGCAATAGCGATCCAGGTGAATGCGGAGAGACATAGTAAATGGCTGGCGGGTTGTATGATATGACATGTCAACGTTTCAAAGGAGCAACAATGCCCGAGTTTGTGAAGATCAAAAAATGTAAGAACGAAAAAACTCTAAAGACGAATAAAATTGGGTGGTGAAGCTATAATACAGTGCCGCAGGCCAGCTTTTCCTTGG